GCACCCCAAAGTGGTCAATATCAACCTCCAAGCTTCAATGGGACTATCTAAGGCAGGGATAGAGAACCTTGGCTCTTTTATGACTTGTGGACTTCAACTCCCAGAATTCCTGAGTCAGCATGGCTGGTTCAGGAATTCTGGGAGTTGAAGTCCACGAGTCATAAAAGAGCCAAGGTTCCTTGCCCCTGATCTAAGGAAATGATTATTTTTACTATGATTATTGTTTTTGGTAGCTATATTATACTTAGTTAAAGAAGGATTTATTAAATTATTTTTCTATAATAAATGATTGGAGATTGATGAACAAGCTGAAACTTTATCAAGGGGTCAATGAGCTGAAGAGTTTGGGGATGCCTACTTTAAAAGTCACAGACCATGCATGACCTTGGCATCCTTCCCTATCCCACTCCTTCAAGAGTCATGGAAACTTCCACTACTGCAAAATTACATGCGGGTATAACCTGACAGTTCTGTTTCTTTTGCTTTCCTGACTAAAACAGACTTATCTGGTAAAGGTTACAAGCAGTGCTTTTTTTCTAAAAAAAAAAAAAAAAAGGTGCCGGAACTCACACACGTCATACAACCCGCCTTGCCTACCCTACAAGGTTCCATCCAAAAAAGGTGCCGGAACTCCGTTCTGGGCGTTCTATGACAAAAAAAGCCCTGGGTACAAGTATGCAGTAGAGTCAACTAGGTTGCTGATAAGGGTGTAAACAGAGCAACTAACAAGCATATGCAAGGTGGACATTGTCATGTGTCTGATTAACAAAACACTTAAAAGGACTTTCAGGCATATTTTTTCCTAAAAGCATTTATTAAGGTTACAGAGACGTCAGTACAGCATGGTGGAAATGCTTAGGTCTGGCTTCTTTTCCGTTACGCATATACATTCTAAGCATTTCCCCCCCTTATTTTGGGGTCATGGTTCACATCTTCCAATCAACTTGGAAGATGTGATTTACTTCCGGTTTCTTTTTCCCGGGCTATCCTTATTCTCCTCCCTTTTTCCCTGTTGCCTGGTTTAACTATAAAAATACCAGACAGTCCTGCATATTGTCAAAGCAAGAATATACAGTATTTGCAGCGTTGACAGACATTTCTTTTTTAACTTCTAATCTGGAGGTTTAGGGCAGTGTTATCCTGCAGTTTTCCACAGTATATTATTCCTAATGTTGTTCATTTCTGATGAAACCTTAATGCAATAAAAAATGAACCACCAGAATAGGGCTTACAGTATGAAACCATCTCACATGTTACTATAAGAACAAGTTGAGGTTGGGCCAAAGTATGTTCCTGGAAATTAGGAAGCTAATATGGAAAATGTTCTGGATGCTGCCTCATGTTCTCCATTGTCCTAAGAAATGCTGGTATGGTTTCAGAGAGATCTTGGGGTTTTCCCTGTGGATTTGGTGGGTAGTTTAGCTGAGGCTTTGGGACACATTTCCTCTATGTGGCCACTCCCTATGTGCCAATCCAGGATGCCTCTTGGTTTATTGGAAAGCTCTTGGAAATGAAGCACAAGAAGAAACACTAAGCACCATTGGAGAAAATTTGAAGCAAATCTGACCAGACAGGTAAGAACCCACATTAGGGATTACCTTGTAATGATAAGGGCAATGAAACATTAATGTGTTTCTGCCATTATTATATCCGTTGATAGCCGTCCCTATTGGGTAAGGAGGGCTCTCTGGAATATCTGCTGAGCCACCATGAAGACTATTTACCCTATCTAGTGGATGGAAGTCATTCAAATCTACTCCAACTTAGACAGGGCAGGGCAAGCTGAGGTACATGAGGCACAATCTGGGGCTGTTCACAATCTGGGGATAAAATTGAGTGGGTGACTCCTGAGAAGGGGACAGGACTCTCTGTAATGTCAGCACAACCAGCTATTTTGCTTATTAGATTGAACCTCTTCAAGGTCATGAAAGCTGCCAGGAAAGTCAGCTGCAGTTGGGTCCATGCTGTGCTGTCAAATCTCTTTACAAAAAGGGAGTGACGCTTCTTGCCTTGAAAGTGGAGATGGTGTACCCTTTCTCAAGAATCTATTCTTGGACCTAACTATTGTCAATAAAATGTAAACCATTATATTTATTTTTGAAAATATCAATCATTATCATCCTCAAATTCAGTTGTCCCAAAAGTTGCTTTTTTAATTGAAAGTTAATAGCAAACCCTGTATGTTGAACAGGGGCAGAAACCTGGCAGCTTCACTAGGCAGGCCCAAGGTCGAAAGATACTGTATAATTGGGTATCATCAATGTACTGATGACACTGAACTGTAAGATGGTGGATGGCCTTGCCCAACGGTAAGATGGTGGATAGCCTTGCCCAACATGTAGATGTTGAAGAGGAGGGTAGAGAGAGTAAAACCCTGTGGCACCCCATAAAGGAGCCTATTGATCAATCTCTCTCCCCTGACTACATTTTATGATTCTCCTCAATGTAGTTGTTGAATATGCCCAAGGAAGAACTGTCTCAAATTAAATCCTGTTAAAATTAGCAGAATACAGGGGAACAAAAGGGCAGAGATTGTGGGAGATAGGCAAGTGAGGGTTGTTGAAGTGCACCCATTGTTGGAGTTGGGCAATGTAAACATTTAATTAAACATTAAACAAACGTTTGAGAACATATTGAAACAGTTATCAAAAAGATTCCCCTGAAATTGATTTCTGGGGGAGGTTAGACTCTAAAAGAAACATGAATCCAGCCAAAATTAATTAGTGGAGAAAACAATATTTTTTTTTGTTTGGCACAACACAGATTTTATACTTCTGTAGATTTCATATTTATTATAAGACATTCTTAACAAGAAATGTAGTTACTAGAGATGTAGTGGAAATTGTTTGTTAAAAGTTTTATTGGACACAGTCTATCAGAAATATGTTCTATCATTCATAACTTCAAAACTTGCTGATGGATTTCACTCTTATCCTGTGGTTGAATATGGAAATTAAAGCCTCTTAAAATAAAAAGCACAGTGTAAAGTATATTGCAAAAAGAACTGAAGCTGTTCCCTAAGGTATGAAAGACAGATTATTGATGAGCAGCATATGAAAATTGAAGGCAGTATTACATAAAGAAAAAAAGTTGTAAGAAGAAACTTCAAATTTATCTTTTGAACATTAATCACTTTTAAGACTGAAATAAAAACATTAATAACTACTAATCCCACCCTTGGGCAAAATTTAATTTGAGAAGCAAAAGAAAGTAACCCAGAGAGTAATTTTTTTCCATGGTGCTATCTGATATAAAATCTACCCAAAATGTAAGATGGGAGGATAATATTCCATTCATTTCATCTAAGAGTCAGACTGATAATCCTCATATATCTACTAAGAATTAAACCCCACTTATGCCATTGGATTTTCTCCCGGGTAGATAAGTAAACAGTAGGACTAAATCTGTTTATATTGATCAATTGTTTCCAGTATGATGGTGGAATGCTCTAGTAAGCTGCAAATCATTTTAACATCTAATTTTGAGATGAGAGCCACAGATGACTGAAGAGGAAAGCAAGTAATAGGTATGACTGAAGAAAGAACAAAGATTTGAGTCTAATATATACCAGTCGCCACACCAAAATTAAAAAAGACTTGTTTCTTTGGCTATTTTCATTACTGTATTAGTTTCTGAGAACTTGGATCTTTTAAAACTCAAACAATTTAATTAATCAATTTCTATTGATTGCCCTTAAGTTTCTGCATACAACCTGAACACATAGTAAGATTCAGTGAATGACAATGGAATATTTACAAACATTTGAGCAAAACTTCTTAGAGCTATACATTTCTGTTTTTATGATTGACATATATATAAACATAAATGGCCAAAGATCACTGTATGTGCTGCCTTTTGTTCTTTAGTATAATTTTTTCTTTAAGTAGAACCCATGGGCTCCTCCAAAGAAGCTCCGATATTGGGGAAAGTTTTTTTAGAGGTCACCAGAATTGCATGCAGAAGGAACAGCTGAGAAACATACATACAATTACAGTATGCTCATGGTTTTTTTTATAAACACCATTTTATTCTATGTGGTAATATCCTAATGTCCAATTAAAATATATATTTTGCATTATTCTGAGTTTATTTCTCCAATTAAGATGCAAATATATTAGACAGATTGAATCCAAAGATTTTATTCTGTTCATGAAAGAAGGGTTCTGCTTATGGGGGGGGGGTTGTTTCGTTTTATTCATAGAAAACTGTTTTCTATGACAAAAAAAAACCCCATTCATGAAAATATTTGGATCCAACGCATTCTTACCCTTGCTGAATAAAACCCAATTTGAGATAATAGTATTTAAAACTACAAAGAGTTGGCAATACACTCACAAACACACACTTAATTTTAAAATGCAAAGTTAATACAAGTAATTGACAGATATAAAAATCTGGAAAAAAAGTATTTTTTCCAGTAATAATTTAAGAATAAAGCTATTGTGGTGTAGTGGTTAAAGGTGCTGAGTTAGAGGTCTTGAGGCCATGAGTTCTAGTCCTGCCTTAGGTTTAAAGCCAACTGGACAGCCTTGGGCTAGTCCCACTCTCTCTCGGTCCTAAAAAGAATGCAAAGGCAAGTTGCTTCTGAAATCTTGCCAAGAAAACTGCGGGGATTTGTCTAAGCAGCCACTAGTTGTCGACACTGACCAAAGGAAAGAAAACAATAAAAAAAATAATAAAAAGTAGTTCACAAAGATATTTATTTAAGAGATATATTTAGCAAAGATAATATTATTTTCCAGAATAAAACTGTAAAATTCAAAATTCAAAAATAGTATATTTTGAATACAATCTTATCTAATGAAACACTTTGACATTTAAATAATATTACAAATTAAGTATATGAATAAGTAAATATATAGTGTTTTGGTAATTACGGTATTATCCATATAGCAATATTGACTATCAATGAATTATTATAAACCGAAAAAGTAGAAAATTCTCATCCTCAAAATTAAGATTGATTCTTCTCCACTGATAAAATATTATCTTTATGAACATTAGAAAAGGCCATCAAATATGCCAAGAAAAGGCTTAATATCACCATCGTCCTCAAGCTGTTGCCTAGGATAAAAAAAAAAATCACAAAGAATATATTATTTGTACTATATAAACCTTACAAAAATTACTATGTTTAACATAATATGGAAGAGCTGTTAAACCAAAATATTGTACTAAAGTATAAATATAGGCAGGATGTGCAAATCGAAAGAGAATTTACTCCTGGAAACCACTATATAATTTCAGAATGACAATGGTCCTGATATTGATCTGGACGAGGAACAAAGTGTTCCAGGGTTTTCTAGAATATTTCATTCCTAAAGCAATGAGTTTTGCACAACCCTAATTATTTGTATGTCTTGTCTTATGTCAATAATGAGCATTCTGAAGGGTATACAGAGAACAGTCAAATATCCATTAATTCAGTCAGGAAGAAAACGTTTAGAATCTATATCTATAGATTCTATATTTTGGAGCATACAGACACATAGCACTGTGTACTGCAATAGACAATCTTCTGTGTTTATGGTTTTACTGTTGTCTGAAATAAAGAAACTAGTTGAGTTGTGTCTATATACAGTTCCAGAGAGTTCAGATTTGCAGCCATACGTGGGAGAAGTCTGAGATATATAGTAGGAAGGTAAAAAAAAAAGTTGGTTAGTTGTGAGTTTATGACCGTTGAAATACATGTTCAGAAATCATTATGCAAATTTCAGTTTGGTGATTCTATTAAAATGTTTCTTAATACCTAAGATCAGCCCCCTTTGTCATATTTCTGCTGGTAATAAAAAAGTCTCCCTTTCCATCAATTTGGTAAGATCTCAAGGCTGTTTCTGAGTTTGCAGTTAATTGTGCCATTTTCAGATTTTCTGGTGGATTATATTCTTCTTGAAGTCTAAACTGTAACACAAAACCCCACCAAAACAAGTAGATATATTTAGCATCATATGATGAACAATTTACTTCTATATTACATAATTTTACACAATTGAGTCTTAAATAAAAACTTAAGGCCTAATATTATAACAGGGTGATTCTATGCCATATTGTAAAGAGGATATTTCTCAAGGGTCCAAGTATCAAGAGTGACATTAAATTCAGAAATATTTCCCAGTGTATTTCTCTTTACCACAATACAAATATCAAATAAACAATGAAGTCACAACTGATCTTTTCCCCTAGATATCTTCCCTGTAAAATACCCTAGTTCAGTGATGGTGAACCTTTTAGAGACCGAGTGCCCAAAACCTGCCCCCCCGCCCCATCCACGCTCTGCTCCCCACTCCACTCCCACTCTGCGCTCCGCCTCGCCCAGCACATGGCCTGCCGCAGCACATTGCCCAGGGGGCCCAGCAGTGCCATGGTGGCCATGCCCTCTGCCTGCGCCCCGCAGCACCAACTGCGCACGATGGGGCACGAGGGCAGAGTCTTGTCCCTGCTGCCTGGCTGCCATGTCCTTGGCTGCGCTGCTCTACGCGGGCCACGCTCGGGGGCAACTCCCCACTGGGAGGGCTGCTGGTGAGGAGGGAGCCATGGGGGGAACCGGGGCTGGGGCAATGGTACGCGTGCCCACAGAGAGGGCTCTGAGTGCCACCTCTGGCACGCGTGCCATAGGTTCGCCATCACTGCCCTAGTTAAACTTAAAATTGATAATTCCTTAGCAAAAAAGAAAACTATGTAGGAGAAGCTGAGGAGGTAGGGCCCGAGTAGATACTTAAGGCACTGTGGGCCACATTGGTCCCATGGATTGGCACCTTGCTATTCATAATATAGTAAATCAACTACAGAGCTAACTAGTGAAAAAAAATAAAGATAGCAAAACAAAATGTGGCCCCCTACTTCCCAAACTTGTAGATATGACCAGGACCAGACCCATTTCACCACTGTACTTAATTCCATCACAGCCATAAACGAGCATCCCTGCCTTCAGAGAGAGCTCCCCGTTCCATTCTATCTAACCAAAGAACAGAAGCTTCACTCACTGCTTATGCTATAACCTAAGGACAGCCTTAATAAAGAATTGCAATAAAATAACTAGGTAATTAAGGTATCATCCTTAATCAAAGTCAGGCAGTTGATTAGCATCTCCTTAACAATGAACTTCCGCAGTGCCGCTGCCTCTTCTGAAAGTGGCGCTTTTGCCTAACGACAGAAATGTCCCAGGCACACAGTCAAGGACCTGCTGAATTTCCCCAATATTTACCAACAAATTCAAATCTTAGGATTTTCTTCCGGTAGCCCTCAACTTCTATAAAACTCTTTGCTTTCCTATTGGTTGGCGTTCCACTTTCTTGTAAAACCAGGGCCTAGCAATCATTGAATAAATGTTTGGTTATTTCTACTCATTGTGGAACCCCTTTCTTTCTTCTGAATTTTTCACAACAGCAACAATCTTCCAGAAAATGTTACCAAATCAACTGCTGTTTCTGTCTCAGTCATGTACACAGACAAACGTCAGAAAAATTTAACAGATACAATTGGTAATAAACATAATAAAAACTAGGCATGTTCTCAATATACATTTAGCACAATATTAGACCAGCAAGATTATCAGATTTGAGTATCATCACTTACAATATTTTGATTTCCACAGTCTGTAAATAATTTGCTACTGGATGGAGGAGTCAGTGAGGGAGAGTAAGAATTTTGCAGGTAGATATCAGGTTTTGTGTTATCTATGGAATAACTAAAAAAAAACCCAGAACCCAAAACAAAATTAAATACTGTGAAATAAAAGATTATTGTATAAGATTTTAAAAATGAGTTATGTAACATTTTGAAGCATTTTCACTCTAGACATACAAGAAGGTGCATAGCAAGTGTAACAACTCTTATTCTTGTGAACCAGAAGTACTAAAATGTTCTACAGAACAGCCCTTTGAAAATAATGAACATATATTCCTGTGAAAAAGCAGACTGTTAGAGAGGGCCAGAAGACAAGTGGGGTAGTGTATCCCTGGGAGATTTACATTTGGAAGTCTTTGTATATGCAAACATAACTGAAAATATATAAGTAGAGGTAGTCCTCGACTTACAACAGTTCATTTAATGACTGTTTGAAGTTGCAACAGCACTGAAAAAAGTGACTTATGACCCTTTATCACAGTTATGACTGTTGCAGCATCTCCATGGTCATGTAATCAAAATTCAAAATTCAGATGCTTGGCAACTGACTCATATTTATTGCAACCATCATAAATATGAGTCAGTTGCCAAGCATCTGAATTTTGAATTTTGATTACATGACCATGGAGATGCTTGAGGACATGTGACTTTCTGACAAGCAAAGTCAATGGGAAGACCAGATTTACTTAACAACCATGTTACTATCTTAACAACTACAGTGGTTCACTTAACAACTGTGGCAAGAAAGGTCATAAAATGGAGCAAAACTCACTTTATTATTATTTTATTATTTATTATTATTATTTATCAAATTTATACCCCTCCCTTCTCCTAACGGACTCAGGGCGGCTTACAGCCAGTTAAAACAGATAACTAATACAATAATACTAATTTTAAAATATGATTAAAATGAAATATTCATTATTGGCCGTTTCTTTTTAAAATTATTTTAAAAACCAAATTAAAATACCCCTTAGGCCAGTCCGGCTAGCTGAAATAGCCACAAAATGTTGGGCTCAGTTGTGGTCATAACCTGCAGTTATTTTACTACATTTATAGATACCTTTTAAAAGGTACCCCAGGAGGTTTATTCTGAGTATTTTGGCAAAATGATGAGTTTTTTCTCAAATTCTGCATGCACATGTTTCTGGATTCCAGCGGAGAAGATTCTAAAACATAAAAATAATGCCAAACATCTTGCAAATAGTAGCCAAAGATATCTGACATTGATCTGATATATTTAGCATTTTAGTACTATAATAAAATCTTGGCTGATTTTGAAAAAAAAAGAAGGATTGGTCCTTGATTGATAAAAAAAAACCCAAATAGCTGTAGACTAAATAAGTAAAAAGTAATCCTGTAAAAAGGCAGTGGAAAGCCACTTCTGCATTTTAATACAGTCACAGGAGTTAAACTCAGCAAAACAGAATCTTTATCAAAACAAAATCTAATCAATCATACAGCTTGCTTATTTGTGGTTTAAATCTATCATCTTCCTTCGTGATATACTGCAAACTACATTTTTCTTTTTAATGTCCTGCTTGTCTATATTCCTAAAGTCAATACATGGAAAGATCAGATATGACAATTAAGTGTATTTGGCTCTAGTTTTCCAAATTATTAAGGAATTATCCGGGCATGCCACAATGGGTATGCTATGTTATGTTTTAGAAACTGTATTCTATTATTTTATTTATCCCTTTTTATATAATAAAAATAATATTTGAGCCACTTGTTAAAAACATTTTTTGCACTGTTTTTGTGGCTGGAGAAGTTTTTTTTTTCTTTTTTAGCTGAAACTAATAATGCAGATTTTATATACAAAATATTAGTACATAGTTTAAACTAAAATTAGATACTACATTTAATTTTTACCTGGATCTTTTAACTTCTGAATATTAGCAGTAAAAGGGTTGCCATGTACAAAACTCCCATCATCATAATCATTCCAAATTTCATTTCCTAATTCAAAATTTATATTCAAAGTTTCAGAAAACAAAGAGATGCTTTTATCTGCATCAGTCAAGTTGCTCATTGAAGATTCTTCAAGACTTTTGTTTGAGCTCATTATCGGGTTATTGTTTTCCTCAGACTGCTTGATAGCAAAGAAACCTAAAATTCGGCATAACAATAATATTCAAATGCAATTTTTTACATTATTAAAATAATACGTTTATCCAATTTAAACAAAAAGACAAGTGAACCCACAACACCATTTTTGGAAGCAAGTATTTAATAGGGAGCAGATATTTATTTATAAAATGTGCATTGGATTGCATTCATTTTTACAAGCTTTTCTAATTATTATATACTGATCTGAAACATTCATATTCAGATACTTATGACACTGTCTTGGACAGTACTTGTATAATTTTGTGTCAAAATCTACAAAATAAGAATAGTCTGGGATAATTAAGATAACCCAGTTATTCCTTTATGTTACTATATAATGAAGTAGCATGATATTCCCCAATACTTAGTGGAATTAATTTATATTATTGAAACTACAGGAATTAAAAGCATTGAACTGTGACTAAATTGTGGCCAAGTAAAATAAATGTTAGAATCGTTAGAAATGTACCATTCATTTTGCGAACTTCAGGTTCCAGTTGAAATCTTTGAGAAACATCAGAACTGTAGATGTCTTCTGCTAAAGGGGATCTTGGATGTTGTACATGCTCTAATCTTTAGAAAAATGAAAAATGAATTAGCCTTTTAGCCTCATAAAGCCTTGTAGCTGTTGTCATTAGTTTGGTCTTCTTTATGTATAATTTTAATCCAAGTTTTTAACTGTGCTCTTTGATATTCACTACCAGAGCTTGCAGATCCTTTGCATTTTCAGCTTTCCAAGTTGGGTCATCAGCATACAGCAGTTTACTGATGTTTCTTCTTCCAGTTTTAAAACCATTCTTATCTTCTTCAAAGTCCTACTTCTCTTAATGTATACAATATTCATGAGGGCTGGATAAGATATGGATTGGAATGTAGATTGACCTCTTAGCTATTATGTCGTTCTCCAGATTTGCTGGTGTAGCTTGGTTAGAACCTTGACTGATTCTTATCTTCCTTGCCATATTTCTGATTTCATCAGTTCCTGTAGCCTTCCTACTAAGTAAAATGTGCCAATACCTATTGATTCTATGAGTGCTGCTCTAACTTCACCTTCTAGTACAAGAGACTCTAGTAGAAGTAGGTATCTTGGATATTGAATTTCTGCTGTATATATTTTCAATATACTCCTTCCATCTTTGTTCTTCTTTGAATCAATTACTATCTGCCATTGGCATCCTTTAGCATACCAATTCGAGGTGGGAATCTCCTTATGAGGTCAAAGATGCCTTTGCCATTATCACTAAAGTGATCTTGCATTTCCAGCATCTTCCTGTATTGGTACTGCCCAATTATAAGTGCCTACTTGCTTTAGCTGGGCAACTTGCAGAATCTTTATGCCTTGTGTTTTTTAGCCCTTCCTCTGACAAACACCTCCTGTTGTGTGTGTGTGTGTCTGTGTGTGTGGTTAGGAATGTTCACTTTAAATCTAGATGATATACAGTATAGTCATAACTAACGCAGGGCTTCATCTTGGCATGCCCCTTAATTTCTTCCAGATATTGAACTTCAGTATACAGTAATTTAGCAACACTCTCAGATTATATTGTTTCCTAGTAAATCAACGGAATCACAACCTGCATACTATTTGTTCAAGTTATTCTGTATTCATTTTCCAAGCATGTTTTAATGCCCTTCCCTCTGCAGTTATGGATGGCACATATAAAGGAATCCCTTGTGTTTCAGGTGAAACTGAAACACTAAAACATGTTTTTCTAAGATGTAAATTCTATGCAGAACTGTGTTGTCAATTAATTCACTTTCTGGAAATGCTGCCTTGCCCCCAGATCAAGGTTATCTAGATGTTTTCTTAAATCACAGACATTCTAAAATCACTGTTTTAACATTCAAATGTTGTGCTGTAGTGATAAAGCTATGTCATATCCAGATTTGTTATTAAAGTACATCATGTATTAAACTGTTACATTATTATATTTTGGGATTGTATCAGATTTGTTCTAATTTATGTCTTACTAATCTTGAACCTTAATAAAGAAAGACAATGATGATAGATGACTCTTACTATTACTATAGTACCTTGGCAATGCTGGAAGAAAAGCTTTTGGAATATAACTAAATTGTTTAAGATCAACTTTTTGAGATTTATTTGACATCTGCATCTAAAATGTAGAAAAAGATTATTATTATTATTATAATAATATATACGGACACATATACTTGTTTCCTGTATAGAAAATGAGATACCATAACTAATAAAATCTATATATGAACATTATGTTTCATACTTGATATGTTTTTATATAGTAGAAAATAGCACTTTGGGTATGTAGTAGAGAAAGAGAGAGATCTACTTATCTATGGGTCACCTGTTATTCTCTCTCAGACTTAGATCTGGAAGCTGAAAAATATCTTGCTACCAACATGTACTAAACCAACATAGTAGATAACAGGGCATAACCTTCAGTGAAAATGGCTTTACATGGGAATGGATTGATCTGGAATGTTGATAGAGATTTTAGTGAATAGCAGCTTTGAATTATGCAAAGACCTCATCAAACAGAGGGTGGCTATAAATCTATTTATAGTTTATTATTATAGTGTATTATAGAAATATAATGTATTATATTTCATTTACTATCATGTTGTAATCGTTTTACGGTAAGAGAAAATTCCTACAAAAAGGAAGAATAGTTTGAAATCTGTACATTTGTTTAAGTTTAGCAAAGGGGAAGAATAGATGGCGATCCCATAGAAATAAAAAAGATTGCACTGTAAAATTTTAAGAGCAGAGCACAGAATTCATCCCCAAACCCTGCTTAGTTGGCAGGCAAGAAACACTGTCAAACTTTTGTCTGCAAAAAGTAGCACAAGGTACAATATTCAATCTTGATTTGCGATTCAATCCAACAATCGTATTCAAATTAGCCACTAATGCTTGAAGAAATCACATATGCCCAAATGCATATAACTTTTTCATTTCAAAGCTACCTCCTGTGGAATACTGGTGTCAGCTTCTACCCTACACTGATTCCAAATAAATTGTCTAGAAGATTATAAAACATTTATTTCCCAATAGTTTTTCTGGAATAATTTGTACTATCACCTTAATCTTTTTTGTAGGCATTTTTAATGTTAATATAATGTTCTGCCTCTTTTCCTATTTTACAGAAAATATCCAACATTAGATATTATATTTCACTAACTAAAATGCTCTTAATTGCAAATATAGCTATTTTTGTTTAAAAAGGGCACACATATTCTTCCAGATTCATATACCTTTAGTCGCTTGACTGGGGGAATGGCAGATTCAGCATTCCGGTTTCTTAAGTCAGTAAGATATGAAGAAAAAACTGACTCATTCTTCATGTTCGATTTCTCTGAAACTCCAATTTTACCTTAAAAATGTAATATATATTTTCATTTTATATTTAAATTTTATTTTTGTTACAGAAAACTAGAAATAAAAGAAAAATAGTTTATAGAAATTTTAAATAAACTCTTGTATGGCAACAGCCAGCCACTTCTATAATTGCACGTACCAATTATTTCTAAATAATTCTTAAATCCATTTTTAATGAAAAAACAAAAACCCAGAAGCAGTGAGGAATATGGTTTAGGTTTTTTATTAAAATGGGACATTTTTGAGTAAAATGCAATGATGATCTGTTCATTTTTATTGACTTTTGGTCTGTTTTTTATTTTACTCTTCCAGATGGATATTTTTAAAAATTGTTTGTGGGTTTGGGCTGTGTATTGTACGGCATCAAGAGTCATTAGGGAGTCAAGCAGTATTCAAATTGAATAAATAAATATTGAGGCAATGCCGTAACATTCACAGAATAAGGCAGATTAATTTAAAATCTTAGCTCAAAAAAACCCCACAAATAAACCCCAAACCAACAACCCTTTTCTGAATATATAGCAGCTTAGACCATCAATATTTTCTTAAGCTAGCCTAGGCATGGTCTTAACATATATACTGTGAAAGAATGATTACTACCTAGTTACATTTTTCATGGCTGTGTTTACTATAAATGTGCATCCAATCATTTGTTAAAGATACGTTTTTGGCAGTGAAACAAGAGAGAGACTTGGATATCTTTCTTTAAAATGTCTACCTTTTGCTATGGGATATCTGTAGCAAGTATGAAATAATCTTGAACAGCAAATTAGAGAAGGCCTGAGAAAACAGCTACATCTTGAGGAGCATTTTAAAAACAAAAGCTATATTGTTGTTTTAAGATGATGGTAGTTTCTGATCTTGTACTTTGAAATGCTTTTAGTCCCAATGGCATAGGTCCAATTTACAAAATTACTCCTCAAATGCCAGAATAAGGAATAGAATAAGACTCTAAGAAATCTTAAAGATGTCAAAATTATATATCAATTTTAAATTAGAAATTTAATTTTTTTTTAAAAAAAATCACATTATGATTTATGAGACAATATAATTCCTTACCTCATTCCTCTACTCAACTATCTGTCATGTTCCAAATGCAAAACATCCTCCAATATGCCCACTTTTAAAAGATCCACAAGAGTTTACATTTATGAGCATGTACACATTTTCTAAATCTAAACTCAAGAGATTGAGTGAATCCTTCTCATAATTCTTTATATGCAAACTGTATCATTCATAAGTTACAATAAGAAAATGAACTCACAACAGTCATGTCCACATGTTTCTTTATTTTTGCAGTGGTGATTGCATTTTCTATTTCCATTCTTTATGCTTACTGATTCTTGGCTACAAGTGGCTTCTTTTGTTTTATGATAGTTTGATGACATAAAAGGGAAAAAAAGCTTTAAACATTATATCACAATCAAATACATGGTAATCAGTGAAAAATCACAGCATTTTCACAATATTTTACTGTTATTTTTCATAAATTCTATAATGTAATACAAAAGTGAAGATGGAAAAGATAGAAAACATTTGAAAATGATCATGTAGGAAATAGGATATGAGGTGATAAGCCTACTAAAAGTTTACTATAATTTAAGTGAATTTATCCTTAATCTACAAGTGTATACACTGGCACTTTAACGTCAGAACGAAAGGAAAAGGCATACAGTATACATTCTGTTTCTAAAACTTTTGTACCAAATTAAATCCCACTGTGTTCAATAAGGCTATCACTAGAAAATTCATCTGAGAATCCTACAATTTAAATAAAAAACCAACTAAAAATATACAGATTAAAAAAAACAAGATATATATACATTAGGAATCCATTTTATATATTATTTTTAATGGATTGGCCTAAAGTCATAAGAAAATTACATGCTATTTAAAGTATTAGAAACAACCCTTAAAACAAAAAAAAATCCATCAGAATTTATCATCACAAAGAGAAAACCTCAGGCAAATTTCAAATATCTACTAAATAAGTGGGATTTGCATTTTCAATATTAACCCAAAAGCACATTGATTTTTCTTGTTTGCCAACTCATCTCATAATTATTTTAATATTCTCAATCAAAAACTTTTGAAGTAGGCCTATACCCTTTATATTCATACATTATTCACCATCAGACTGGGTTCTGACATCAAACACTTAACCCAAAATCTATTCTGCTGCTAGCAATAAATATTTAGTATGGAATTTTTGTTTACCTTTATTTGTTCTTAATTTTGATGACCCTACCGAAGAAGTTTGAGAGCTATCAGGTTTTCCACGAGTGATCATAATTCCAACCTTCTTTGGTCCTAAGTAAAATGGTTTATATTTCTGCTGAACATCCAGTCCAACTATTAGGGGAGAAAATTATATATTTAGCTTTGCAAATATATCTGCCTATATATGAATGGAGGGAACAGAAGAAAAAGCAAGTTTAATGCAAATCCCACTTTCTTGCCAACAGAATGTTACGATCGCTACATGAACTATGCCCTTCAGGATTTAAATCCAGCCACCACTCGTGCAGTAGCAAAAGTTTGTACTGCTGCAATGTTAATAAGGGTAAAACACCTCAAGAACTAAAGATCCTTATTCGTATTACTACTTTGTTTGTTATTTTCCAATACTTTTTAGAGAATGTATTTATTTTAATGTTTACCTTTTGTGCTGATCTGTGACCATAATAGATCGATTCTGATGCTGAATGTTACAATCGATGCATTTTATATTGTAAATAGTAGGCAAAAGAGTGTAATACTGGATCAGAAGCTAATTTGAATATTTAAATATATCTGCCACTGAACTTCGCCCTTTTTCTTTTTCCAATGTTTTCTTTTCTACTGATTGTATCTTTCAACAAGGCAGCAGAGAGTGGGAGAAAATATAGGTATGCATTCTATTCGATAACGATAACACTTTTTATAGGTCCACACGATCCAGGAGCTATATACTAGCTAAAATATACATACTGTACATAATATTGACTTGCCATTATAAAAATAAACCTAGTTTGTTTCATTTTTTTATTATTTTATATAATAAAAATTATTATAAAATAACAATTATTTTATTATTTATTGTATGTATAATTATTATTTTTATAAATAATACAAGGTGGTGAATATCCTTTCTCCTACTTTCCCCACAAAAACCACCATGTGAGGTGGGTTAGGCTGAGTGACTGGCCCAAAGTCACCCAGCTGGCTTTCGTGGCTAAGGCACTAGAACTCATGGTCACACAGTCTCTAGCCTAGAAGCTTAACCCTGGGCTAAATTAGTTTAAAAGCTTCAACTTCATTCCGAGCCCCATCCTTAAAACACAGTTATATAAATGTGTCATTATCTTCTATGACAATCTTTGTCAATCTATTGTTGGGCTTTTCTGACAGTTTGGCTGGGAGCCTAGTATCATTGTTTTAGGATATTTCAATCAATAACTTATGTTTCAGATCGCCATCGCTTTTTGTTCAAATTCACTGCATAACATTTTTGCATTACACAAAATAGTGTAAAGCGGAAATGTAGTTCCACTATAAAATCAGCATATATTGATTTAAAAAAACATGTAACCCAAAAGGTTCTCGGTTTAAAACTTAGAAGACTTATTTTTAAAATCCAAATCCATAAATGAATTTACCATATTCAGAACTGATTAGATTTATATTAAGCTCATCAGAATTAACAGCTCTTCTCACTTCAATCTTTTTTGTCCAGTTTCCAGTTTTCAGCAAAGCAGAATCCCTGCAAAGTATATAATGAATCAATAGCTTAAAATTGAATATACAAAAATGTACAATTGTTAAACTTTCAAAATAGTTTAAATTTACTCACATAATCCTTTGTCTAAAAATCACATTATTATCATTATCTCCTATTACTAGGGTTGCATAATGAGAATCTGGAGCAGTTCTTTTTATCTGCAGCTGTTCAAAGTTGGTTAATATGATTGTCACTATGATTTCAGCTACTGCTTCGTTGTACTTTACCAGCTTGAAAATAAATGACATACAATTCAAAAATAAAACTAGCTTTGGCATACAATATGGTAAAGAAATATGAATAGCTTCATATTGACTGGAGTCAGATACCATACTAAGCTAGTTCAATGTTATAACACATGTGTAATGATGCCATCCCCCCAAATACCACCATCAGATCCCAAAGTCTGATACATAAATTATAAAATGTAGAATGCAGAATAACAGAGTTGGAAGGGACTAGAAGTCCAACCCCGTGCTCAAGCAGGAGACCCTATACCATTCCGGACAAATAACTGTCCAATCATTTCTTAAAAATCTCCAGTGATGGAGCACCCACAACTTCTGAAGGCAAGCTGTTCTCACTGCCAGATAATTTTTCCCTACTTCTACATTGGACCTCTCTTTAATAAGTTTCCATCCATTACTTCTTGTCTTGCCTTCAAGTGCTTTGGAGAATAGGTTGACCCACTCTTCTTTGTGACATTCTCTCAAATATTGGAAGTCTGCTATTGTGTCACCCCTAGTTGGAGCATTTGTATGATGATCTTGTCACTCATAGATAATTTCCCTTGCCTTTGCCCTATTGTATATACCCATAGTATTAACAAGCATTTAGAAAAGCAAGGCATATCAAACTGAGGAGAAAACATGGATGATGAGGAGATGCCTCTTAAGTAGCTGCTATATCTAGTTCCTAGATCATTCTTGCTTTGCAGGATTCATAGGCCTAGAGATCATACCTGGGTGCATTGCTTTTACCCTCCATACCATAGAATTAAATAATCCCAGGCAGAGTTAGACAATAGTTCTTTAAGCGCAAACATCACTCATTAGTGTTATGGCAGATAATATGACCAAATAGTGTTATCTTGCTATATTGTAATGAAGCATCTGTTGTTCTTGCCACAGAGCTCAATCTCAATTTTTCCAATCTATGATTAGAAATCTTCACTATAGGCTTTTTAGTGTATCACACTTCATACTGTACTAGCTACTACATTTGACTCCAGTACATCATAATGAACTACTGGCTCCACAATTTAAAGACTTTTTTTGGTAATTATTTAGTGCAGCACCTAAATCACAAATGTAGAATAGAATAGAATAGAATAGAATAGAATAGAATAGAATAGAATAGAATAGAATAGAATAGAATAGAATAGAATAGAAGCTGGAAGGGACTTGGAAGTCTTCTAGTCCAGCCCCCTGCTCAAGCAGGAGAACCTATACCATCTTCAGACAAGTGACTGTCTAGTCCAGACATGTCAAACACAAGGCCCGGGGGCCGGATGCAGCCCGCGAAGTGGTTTCATGTGGCCCGCAAAGCCATCCTGGAAACAGTGAGGGAACAGCCCCCGCTGCCTTGGCCCTGGCTCAGGCCAGCCGGGAGCCAATGTACAATTTTGTGGTGGCCATCTTGGCACTTGCCCCGGTCCCACCCCCTTCTGCCAGAGACCCTCAGATCTGTCCCACTCCTGCCCAGGCCCCTATAGGCACCCTTGACGTGAATGATGTAGAACTGGCCACGCCCACCCAGTAGGGCACACCCACTCTGGCCACACCCACCCGCCCTCCTCCCCAGGACAACCGCAATGCTGATGCGGTCCTCAGTGAAATTGAGTTTGACACCCCTGGTCTAGTCTCCTCTTAAAAACCCTCCAGTGATGGAGCACCCACGATTTCTGAAGGCAAGCTCTTCCACTAGTTAATTGTCTTCACTTTTAGGAGGTTTGTCCTTAATTCCAGGTTGCTTGTCTCTTTGGCCAGTTTCCAACCATTGTTTCTCATCCTTCCCTCTGGTGTTTTGATGAACAACCTGACCCCCTCTGCCTTGTGGCAGCCCCTCAGATACTGGAACATTGCTATCATGTCACCGCTATTTCTTCTTTTCTTTAGACTAGCCAAACCCAAGTCCTGCAGCTGTTATTCATATGCGTTGATCTCCAGGCCTCTGATCATTTTAGTTGCTCTTCTCTGAACTTTTTCCAAAGTCTCAACAGCTTTTTTAGGAAGGAGAGTTTCTTCTAAGTTTTCTTTTCAATTCAATTCTTTTGCAATGAGAACACAAAACAAAAATATACCTGCTCTATGTTAAGTTCATATTTTGGAAGATGTACTACTGATTCTTTAATTTGATTTCCAAAAGGAGGATGTCTGTTCAAAATCTGGAAATTTAAATTCAGATAGCATTCATATTAATTTAGAACATAGACCAGTATTTGCTTAACAGAGCACAAAAGCTATTCACAAAACATTGTTCTCCTAGCATTATATTGTTATCATTTTTCTTTAAATCAATCAAAATGGCAACAGTGCCATTTTGGGATAATTTATGCCAGTTTGTCTGTCTTCCTTATGGCACATCCACACAAACGTATACCATTGGATTGAAAATGCCTTGTCGAATGTTCATTAAAAATGTATCTCGATGCAGATTTCCCCTTATCCCCAGCCTATTACTGAAACAATTAACTCCAGATTTTTCCAAACCAGATGTGGAAATGCTGTTTTCAATCTTCTCCCAACACAAGCCTTGCATGATATATGGTATTTTGGCAGCATCTATATTGACGACATAGTTAGAAGCAGCAATCTGGTCAGGGAATGAAATCCAATAGTCTCTGCAATATAACTTGCCCAGCAGGAAACTCTAAGCACAATTCTCCAGCCTCATTAATGAGGCAGAGTAAAAACTAGCTATGTAAATAGAGCAAATATATTCTGATCTTTTATATCCCACCTTACGGGTTGGAGAACAGGACATTAAACTGGCTATCTGGATATGCCTTCAGGATGATCTAAATAAATTTCCCATATTCAACCAGCTACTTACTTTTTTTTTCTTACTTTCAGCTGCCATTTCCAATCCTCCCCCACCACCAATTGCAGTTACCCACTGTTTGAATTTATCAAATGAAATAAGAATGGTAAAAACTATGTGTACTACAGCTATAACAAATAATTACATTTTTGTTCAACTCTCCTATCAGTTACAAATAATTCTGCAATTCTGGCAGTCTGAATTCCTTTTTTGTTTTTCTCACCTCAGATACCTTACTATACTAGTATCTGGACTTGAAAAACTATGAATTCCTGGCAACAGAATATTTTGAAAATGCCGCTTATATCATTACTCAATACATTTTTTAAAAATACATAATCTCAGGAAGAATGAATCTAGTATAGTGTGAACAGAAAGTCTCTTGGGTTAAGGCATTTTTCTACCTCTCCTCCCTATAACAGACTTATCAAAAAATCTGGAGTAGTTTTTGAAAGTATAAGGAAAACAATGGAGAAAAAAGACCTCCCTTATTACCACTTCTGCAGATGGAAATACTCATTTCACTGGAAAAACAGTTGTGCATTCCTTCGAGATATTTATATGATTTATTTAGAAAACAACAGAATACAAATCAGATAACATGTGATCAAATGTAAAATAGTATATGTAACACACAACATAAAAATTTTAAAATAAGTACCAATTCAAGCTCTCTTGCATTTATATCTTCTATTTTTTTAAAGGAGGTCAGTCCTGCATTCATCATTGTGTTTGATAAAGTCATGCCTGTTGAAAACGGAAATATGCTAAAGATTAATTGATCAAATTGCATTTCCTCATAACTTATCTTTTTTTTTACTAGTAAGCAAATATAAAATATCATTTAAAGTAAGCATAATAATATCTACTCTGAAATATATTTTTAAATGGCCATCTTGTCAGGGTGCTGTGGCTGATGGTTTAAGGATGGTGAGGTTTGACTAGATTGCAGTTTGGGTGGTTTATCCCTGGAGGTATTTTAGACTGAAGGGCAGGGTAATAGGGAAAAAAGGGCAACAACAGCAGAGATTGTTGGCAAAGTCCAAAGCACCAACAATATCTAGCTGAGTGACTGAAGCAACGGTGTGGTGGTTCTCCATCCACTTAACTTGAGAAGTAGCTTAATGATCGCAACTGAAAGTGCTGGGATTGCAGTCATTGAGCAAAGCAGTCACAGTTACTAACTGCTTTGCTCAACAACCAATATTACAGTCCCAATTTTGGTTGTTAAGCAAGGATTACCTGTAATTATTTTAAATCTGATATTTAAAAATACAATAGAAAATCTAGGAATCATCCTCAATATTATTTTGCAGTTTGTACTTCTAATGTATAACATACTGCTGTACAAAATTCTCATCACTGTTGCCACTTCCTTTTATAAAGCTAAGCAGCATATTAATTAAACTAAGAAAGCTAAGAAATATGCATGGATTCTGAATATTTTCACAAGTGATATTTAATGTAATATGATGCACACTTCCCCCGCATTTCAATTTTCCTCAATATCTGGAGAGCTTTCTGCAATCTGAGGATGGAAAAAGAAAATAATTCTATCATACTATTTTTATGCTATGAGATTGAAATGATTGGACTTTACCCTAAATAGAAAAATAGTCAACTTTTGTACTGTATCCTAAGTTGTAAGGTAGAATAATTTTTATGGTACCTACCAATTTTTTCTAGCTGCTTGGATATATAGAGTGAATTTTCCCAAAGTCTACATCTGAAGCACTTTGCTAAAATCAAAGCATTTAATAATACAATAAAGTTGTTTTGACGGGTAGCCAGAAATTCAGATAACCCTACACAAGAAAAGAAACAAGTGTAAAAAACAGAAAGAGATAGAAAAAAAACATGCTAGGGTATATTATCATTATTACATTATATGGTTCATTGCATAGTAAGCCAGATGTTCAGACTGGATTTGACATTTTTGTCTACCTACTGAATTTTTTTCAAGGACCTGGAATAGGCAAATGTAGATATTTTATGGTATTACAGATATCGTCGTAGGATGTAAGCTTATTATTATTATTTAAAATACATTGCTTCTCTTTTTTACTTTTATAAATCACTCAGACTTATTAGAAAATGAATGACTCTAGAAATTGTAATTAGTGACAGACTCATTTAGTGACCATCTCCAGTTATGATGGTGATTACATAAATAACTTTGTGTCCAGTCTTTGCAGATCTGTAAAGCAAAGGAAAGCTGAACATTGTAAAATTGCACTGTTCAACTGAGTTGCCAGTTCCATTTTTGGTCACTAAACAAGAATTAGTTGTCCGCAAATATGTAATAAAAATAGTCATTTTAAATTTTACCATACATTTTGTAAGTCTTATGCCATTTCTAAAAATGTTTCCTATATCTTGCGTCAAGGTGAAATCTTGGATGGGAATGCATCCTAACTGTGCCTGAATAAGACTGAAAAAGAAGTTATAAATTATTGAAAACACCAATATGTAAATATCATAAACAGTAAATCCATTGATTTTTTAAAAAAACAAGCTCAATAGCAATAGCACTTCATAGTGCTTTACAGCCCTCTCTAAGCAGGTTACAGAGTCAGCATATTGCCCCCAACAATCTGGGTCCTCATTTTACCAACCCCAGAAGGATGGAAGGCTGAGTCAACCTTGAGCTGGTGAGACTTGAACTGCCAAACTGCTGGCAGCCAGCAGTCAGGAGAATAAGCCTGCAGTACTGCATTGTAACCGCTAAAGCCATCACGGCTCTAGATAAAATCTAGAGAGGATGGAGTATAAGAAAATACCATACAATAATTCATCAATAATCCTTATTACTATTTTAAAATAATAATAATAATAATATATTGCATAAAATAATTACCAGTTTACTTTCATTTCTCTTGTTTTTATTTTTCCTTCCATTGGATATCTGTACATAAAATATACACGTTTTTAATTTACGTGCTAAATAAGTGGCATTAATTTAGAACATAAAATAAGATGCATTTCCCATTATCAAAATGATATAGCGGTATCATACATATAAACAAGAGTTCAGTAAGATTTATTTAAGAACTATGTTACTATAGAGTTATAGTTTCAGAGCAGGGTTATTGGACTTGTGGCCCTCCAGATGCTCTTGAATTAATCTGTTCAGTTTTGGCCATGTGGACTTGAGATGGGGTTTGCCAATCTCTGGGAAAATAAAATTTCTCCATACTTTATGGCTTCAAATGTGCACATTTTAACATTGAAAGCTCCAAGAGGTGTCTCTCCCCACCCACTGATCCCAGTGAGCTCCACATTTTTTGAGAGCTCTCAAAAACAAGTAAAGAGATGTTTGGACATTTCCTGTGGTGAGTACAACTGGACGCCTAAGCTTACTCTTTCATAATACAATCAGCAGAGCAGGCTTGCTTATCTACTTTATTGCATCTCTAAGTCAGGTGCACTGTTTAAAATGTTCTGGCTCCTACTGGCCATAAGACCAAGCTATTATAATTTTTTGTGATTCTTTTGTTGAGCAATTTGTGTATAAAACTGTTCTTACTCATTCTGAGTTGGAAGCTGGATAGAAAGAATCTTTAGATGACAGATATATCATCTTGTAATGTTACCCAAAACAATTTTGTGGACTGGAGGAAGTCAGTTCATTGGGATGGGAAGAGAGTAACCATCATTGCCAATTGAACCTTCAGTGGTGTTGATCATAGTATCCTTCTGGACAATTTGTATGGGTTTGAAGGCACAGTATAACAGCATTTCTACCCCTTACTGAGTAGATAGGTCCCATTTTGTGTTGGAGACAATAGGTTGGTCCCTCCAGTATGAAGTATCCCAGAGCTCAGGGTTTTTTTTTAAATCTTATTTAATATTCATGCAAAGCTGCTGGGAGAGATTATCTTTCAGTTCACAGTGAGACGATATCAACATGTGAATGATACAAAGCTGCATTGTCTACCAAATAGGAGATCTGGTAGAAGTTATGACTTGGTGTTTGGAAACTTAGAAGGGGAGAAACAGGTTCAGACTCAATCCAAGCAAGTTTGGGTTAAAGCCTACTAATCCCAAACAAATACCATAACAGATTCTTGATGAGATTGTGTTTCCCCAAGAACAGCAGGTTTGCAATCTGGAAGTCCTTCTGAATTTGGGGCTCTTGTTGGAATAGCAGGTAAAGGACATGGCCAGGAAAGTCTTTGCCCAAGCATTGAAATTTCCAATATGAAATAGAATTAATTGTAAGTAGGACAGAATTGATATTAACTTAGCGCATAGGTTTTAAGCACATACACTATGCAGAAGACAAAAATGTTGCTATAATTAAAACTACTCCTTAGTCAAAAATAATTTTAAACTTGTACCTTATGTTCATCCACTTTTTATCTTTGTTCAAGGAATTCAGTACTTTTTTCTCATTTGTTCTTAACTTGATGTCTGAAAATTCACTGCAACCAGATATCAATACAACCTGCAATAGTTTCTTTCATTAATTTTGTTCTATTTTTGTTCTATTTATTTCAATATATATATAAAAATTATCTAATTACTTGGATGGAATTGAGAGAAATAGGTTCAGAATTATCTCTGGCAATTCAGTTTTAATAGTTCACAAGACTTGATGGAGGCATTATTTAGTTTGTTTTTATTTGTGGTTGTTATTTTTATATGATTATTTAGCTTATCCATATTTGTGTGAAAACAGAATGCATTGATCTTAGTAGAATTTACTTTTGAACAGACATACGGTACATTGGATAATGTTGTTTTTATTATCAAGCCTGGAAGAATAATCTATAGTTTTTCCTGGAATACAGCTGGACAGTAATATGCAGCAGCAGGAGGAAAAACAATACATTCATGTAATGTACTGAGTACTGAGAAATTTACGAACCAAATTTTGAGAATAAAATATATTGCTTACATTGCTGCTGTTGTTTTATTATTCATTTCTTAACTTTATCCGAATTGTAAGTATCAAGATACTACATATTGGGTACATTTAACAGAATCCCTACACAAGTATGTAACAACCTAAAAAACAAAGAATCTGCTTTTAAAAGTATCCCATGCATTTGAGCCAGGAGGTTAAACAAGCTCTGACAGCTACTGTTGTTCTATTATGAGTTGGAATAACTGTTCATGACCTCGCATTTATGATTTAAGTTGCTTAAATTATTGCTTTTAACTTTGTATACCCCCTAGAGTCACTGCAGTGAGATGGGAAGTCATTTTAAATTGTATAAATAAATAAAATTTGATTGGTCCATATTTACCATAATTGTACAGTAAGGATAAAACCTGGCTTTACATATTAATTTATCTCATTACTGCATTTCATTGAATACTTTTAATTTTTTTCTATAAACAGACTGACAAAATATGACTGACACTTCTGAAAATCAGGATAATATCATACAGCGACAGTTGGCAGAGCATCATCATAAACCCATGTTTATTTATGTAACATCAAATACATTTAAAATTAAATGGGAACTAAATTTCATTGATACATAATCCATTGCTACCATACAAATGCCAAAATTCACAGTTCAGTGAATATTGTTCAAATTCTCATGCACAGACAAAATTGCCAAATAATATCTCAATTGGTCTAATAATGGGGGGGGGGACCACTATAGACAAACAAGAAAAGCAATGAAAAATATTTGTCTGTTTTGTCAGAAAATGCTTTTCTATGTTATATATCACTAAAAAATAAAACAGTTTAAATATCCTGCTTACATTTATTGTTTCATGTATTGCTGTGGTTCTCAAATAATATGTTTCAGCACAAAAACTCTGTCATAAAAACAATTTAATGGCTTTTTCATATTTCTTTCATTAGGTTTTTAGTCCAAATATTATCCAAATACAGGGGAAATTATGTGTGACATTTCAAGGCAAAGTGAGATTTAATTGCTCCACAGGGTAAGTATTTCATGAGCAAATTGCCTAAGCAAAACAGATAACTTCTCCCAATTTTTTAGAAAATTAATTTTTCATTTAGAAATTGGGGGCAGATTGGGTTCATTTTGTCCAGATTGATATTAAAAATGGATTAGATTATTTATTCATTTATTTATTACAGTAACTGTGAGCAGCTAATAGCATATAAAAAGAGTAAAAAATAAACATAGGCAACAATACATTGACCTTACTGTAGATCCGTAACATCCACTTTAGCTAGTCTGTACTAAATACTGTACTAAAGCTGAACCACAATAAATGTACACAAATAATGTAAGTAATAAAAGCAAAAAGATGAAAAGTTGTATCCACTCAGTATTAGTTATTTATTTAAAGTCTAAAATGTTAAAGTCTAAAATGTAATAAGATTTGACATCTGCAGCAAGAATTTTAGAAAAAAATATTACAGTACTTTAATATGAAACCCAGGCTGGTCAGTAGTTAAGGCACCAGGATAGAATTCAAGAGACCATGAGGTCCAATCCCACCTTGGGCACAAATCCACCTGGGTTTCCTTGGGCCTATCACTCTCTTTCAGCCTTAGGAAGCAAGCAATTACAAACTTCTGAAATCTTGCCAGTGAGAAATAATAATTTGGTAATGTGGTGTAATGTAATGTGGTCTTCTTTAAATCAACGATCCCCAAACTTTATGGCTTGGTGGCCTGGTGGAGGGTAGAGGGGAATTGGGCTATGAGTGGTGGGCCAATGTGCATGCGCGTACACGCGCAGCTTGACTTGTGTGAGCGACAGGTTGGCGTTCACATGCATGCGTACACAGTTCAACTTGCACAAATTGAGCTGTGCGCACGTGTGCATGCGTGCCGGCCTGCCACTTGTGCAAGTTGAGCTGCATGTGCATTTGCCCACAGCTCGTAGGGCCTGGTTCCAAATAGGCCACAGCCCAGTAGTGTAGGGGGCTGGGGAGCCCTGCTTTAAATAGACCATTCTTGTGAGCCACAGAGAACTGGTAGTCCGGTTCCACAAATGTTATTTTCAAGTTGAACAGATTGTTTTCCAATAACTTTGCATTAGAGTTTAATGTCATTCCTGATAATTGTATATAACTGTACTATACAAATTCTTTTAGTAGCTTGCACAATAATTAATGAAGTACAAGTAATTTCTTCTCCAGCTCACAACTCTGATCACAGATCTAAGCCAAATGGCATGAATTATGCAAAGTTTCAATAAAAAGCAACTTTCAAAAATCTGAAACCGTAAATGAGTTTTCAGCTTTGTAAGAATATTAATTCTTCATATGAATAATAACATTACCAGTTCAGATAAAGTTACTGTTCCATTAATCATGAAACACTTTTTTACAGTATCAAATGCAATATAATACCAAGCCATCTGTCGTCCAGTTTCTGTAGAAAAAATAAATATATAAAACAATTAAATATTTTTAATAAGTGAAATATAAAAGGCAATTTTTTATAGTTGAATAATAGCTTTAAATTACATGAACACATATGTTAGGAAAACCCTTTTTTAATAGTAAGTTCTTCTTTGGAACCAATTATCTAAAGAAGTGGGAGGTTCCTCTTTACTGGATTGGCTAGACAGCCATCAGTTTGGGATGTTTCAATTTAGATTCTTGCATTGAGCACAAGATTTGGCTCAATGATCTAAAGGGAACTTCCAACTCTTATTATTTTGTGACATAGATTTTAACTCAAAGGACTTTGAATTATTTTTAGCTACTCATCTTTATAGAATAGGAACATATCAAAAATTAGATTTAACAACAAAATATGTTTTAATCTATTCACTGGCCTTCTAATTACAACATGTTCAGTATACCATTTCAAAGAGAAAATGTTATTACTATTTAAGACAAACATTCAAAAAAAATTCATGAGTTTTCCACACTCCCAGAACTGAGAACAATCCCACAGAACTTTGAGAAATATTGCTCCCATTATTTTTTTATTGGCCTTATAATCATGCTTTTCTACAAATCTGAAAAATATTGTAGTTTTCTTTTGGTTGTCCATTGGTTAATTTTCTGGTTGAATTCCATGATCCTCAGAAGAAATGTGAATATCAATGGGAGTTTTTCACAGGAAGATGAGTCTAGATACTACTCTTTCATACATATGTGACAGAGACTTAAAGTCTCAAGTTTCTGCAACCCTTACCAATTTTCCTAGCTCAATCTAGTAATTCATATATATCTTATCAAGAAGCTGCCCTTAATTTATGGAATGCTCTAAGAAAAGGAGGAACAAAGTTTGTAACTGGAATTGGTCACAGTTAACACTTTTCTGAGACCTGAGAGTTGCAGTGAGTAGTGCCATGATACCAGTAGGCAGAACCATGACACTATAAATGTGGCTAACATATTTTGTTCTGGTTTTATTTTTTATTGGATTTTTTAAAAAATACTGTTATGCCTGTTTTATGGCTGATATTACAATTTTCAGGTGTTTACTGAGAATGACAAAAACTACATTATCAAATTTCAGTCATTATGGAAAGAAACAAATGGATACATAACAGAGACTTGAGAGATGTACGAAGTCTTGCAATTGCAGATTGCCCCAGGGCACAGTTTTTATGAGAACAATGCAAGCCCCCCAAAAACATTTGAAATATTAAAAAAATAAAAAATAAATTCCAAACATTCAGATAATAGAGATTGTGTAATATTACCTGTGGTTTTGAAATAGAGATTATCATCCATTTTGATCAAATCAAGCGATGACAAATCATTCAAATTCTTCAAACACAGTTCTGTCCAAATTGAAGTGATAATTTTTGACAGGCAGGAAAAAATCGTTTTTGCAGATAGAAAAAGCAGAAGAACATTTATCTATCTGCTGTGAACAGGCAAACCCTGATTCAACTCAGGCAAGGCAAGCGTTTCTATTCCCCATATTCACTCACCCTATTTCCCAGACATAAAACCAACTCCTTAAATATCTATGTAATAGCTATGAACATGTGACCAAACAAGAAAAACAAGTTTACACTTGCCCAGATAAAATAAAGGGTTTTCCTGGTGAGTTTAAAATCTTAGCCTCACATAAAAGTAGGGAGTTGCGGAGAAGGTTCTTCTCAGATCCACCTTTGTTTGGGAAAAAGCTTTGTTTTGGGACAAAGGGAAACAGCATGGCTGAAAGGGAAGAAAGAAAGCTCTTCTGGGGAAAAACCAAAAAGGAAGATGCAAGAGGGAGAAGATGTAAGCAAGATAGACTGAAAATGACCTCATATTCCTAATGAGCTAGATCCCAAGAAAAGAAGGAAACTAAGCAATGCTGAAGTGGAAGGAAGCCCAATACCGTTAAAAGTACAACTGAACTTTGGGATTGGAAGTGAAAGTAGATATGGCTTGGAACCAAAACATCTTTGGGGGCAGAGAAATAGTTTTGCTTTATTCAGAAAGGCAGAGATTCTAGGTGAAGGGAAAAGAATTCTAGAGTTGGTGGTAAGAGCAGAGCTATCTGTCTCTGGGCTAAGGGGGAAAAAAACCCCCGCTTCATTGTGGTTCAATAATCTCTAAGGAATCAACAGGAGCTAAGAGGATAAACAAAAGAATTAGCAGAACTAGTACTAGGATGCGAAGCGAAATGAGCAAACAAATTTAAATATCAAACTAAAGCCTATTTAAATACGTTGTTCTTTGCGTTTTCAAGAAATCTGACCTTGTAATTTTGCTTCAATTCCATTTCTGTCAAGTCCAGCTGAAAACCCTTGATTAAAAGAATATATTTGATTATTAATACTTAATTTGTAAAAGAATAATGTGCAGCTCCTTTGTTATAGAAACCTATGCAAAGTTTTGCAATCAACAGATTTGTATATTAAGCACACAATTTATTATGGGACACAAAAGGATGTCTAAAGAGATTTATAAATTATTTATTAATTTTACCTTTAAAATTATCCAAGTTTAAACAAAAAAAACCCCCACATTATACAGTCTGGCTTTTATTTATTTAATCATTGTCATCAGCCACAAGTAAATTAAAAAAGTATGTATGTATGTATGTATGTATGTATGTATGTATCTCTTTTATACACATACACATGTACCCTCTCTTCTTGTGCAATTTCCAACTTCTGGAACAGATTTCCAGTACCTGCTGGTACATTGCTACACATATTGTTGTCCTTCCAATATAGAAGGAACAGTGGATAAGAAGACCTACACATCATACACTATGTTTTAGACTGTATCAACCCATAAATTCATGCTATAGTCCATAGGTGGTCAGCTAATGATCTAGATCAGAGGTGCCAAACTGCCAGCCCACGGGCCAGATGCGTCATGCCAAAACCACGCCCACCCCATTGCTGGCAATGGAAAAAAAGTCGTGAAACGTCGTGACACATCACATGACATTGCATGTTTGACACCCCTAATCTAGATATACCAGAAATTTCAAATTTTCCTTGAAACTGGCTTGTAGAACTAAAGTAACTGCTGCTTGTTGTTCTCACATATAACAATCTGTCATAGTGCTTCACCTTAGGAATTGAACACCCTCCTCTCAGAGCTCTGAATTTCTCCTTTCCTCCTTTAACATAAGCATCCTAATTGCACCTATAAATATTTGTTCATTATTCATGAAACAACAAAAGAATCTATTCTAGAAATAAAAATGGCTTAGAAAATAATATTCAGTTTTCATAGTTCAAAATGCTTTCAGCATTTGACATTTTCCCTATTTTCTATTTCTATTTTTTAAAAACTCAGTTTATTACAGAAAAAGCAAGACAGCATTCAAACATTAACATTTGTTCCATTATATTTGTGGTAACAAATATAGACCTTTTTTAAAAAAAAAATACTTATTTTTGTGAATAATTTTGCAGTGACTACTACAAAGATTTTATATGTGCTTTCATCTCTCTCTCTCACTTTCTCTCTTGCTCTTTCTCTCACACATACACACATATATACAAAATCAGTGTGAAAACAGATGTAGTGAAAGGTGCTAAATGTCCTAACTGTTATCATTTAAGGGCATTTCAAGAAAGTAAGTATTTCATTTACCACTTTTTCTCTCCCCCCTTTCTTTCACAGTTCTAAAAAGCAGCTGTTCCACATACAGAGAGATCCTACTGTGCTGAACACTGCAGAATGCCTTATGCTGTGGTGATGACAGCAAGAAGGATCAGTGAAGAAACAGAAATTCTGCCTTTGGGGAAAATAGATCTGCATTCACTTGATATAAAATAGTTTATGAATTTTAATGTTCTCATTTGATCCTCTATAAAAACAAGCTTATTTAGCTGAAAACTTTAGAAAAATTATACAGCATTCAAGAAAGTGAATTCATCTTTTTCAAAAGCAGGCAACCTAATACTTACTGTAGGGAACAAAATACTATCTGTATCACATTCCAATATGTTACTGACACTTTAATATTCTGAAATATTGCAGAGAAACAGTTATCAGACTTTTACAAAAGAAATTGCAATATGGATCTGCAATAAACCTGTTAGAAGTCTAAGTATCCTCAAGGCTATATATGGAACAAGAAGAAATAGGAGCTTCAGCTACAATATCCCAGACTAATTTTCTGTTTCCAAGTTCTCCGGTATAATTTTAACTTTCCATTTTGACTGCTTAAATCCAAGCATGCCATTTATAAGCTTGATAAAAATTCTAATTTGTAATCCAGGATGTTAACTTATCAAGCACTTTACAGACTATGAAATAGTAAGTAAGCAAAAGATACATCAAGATACAAAAGAGGTTCAGTGTTCATAAAAGATCTTGCCAAATCTAACTGTTTTGAATTACATAGCTACAGATAAGGTAAGGAAAATGTATATAACTTGACTGGGCTTTAGTAATTTTTCCCAACACTTTTACTAAGTGTTGGAGGCATCTGTATTTTCATCTGTGTAACAAAATAATATGTTGCATCTATGTGTATGCATATAAGTATGCATTGGAATGGACAAGGCAGGCTGTCCACTCTTTGCTCTTGGTCATATGATTAAGAAGAATGAGAGAGGGGGGTTTAGAATGGAGATGCTAAAAACTATCACCCAACTGAATCTCCCATAGGGATGCACTGGGGAACTTTTTTTTTCCTGGAAAGTTTTTCTCAGTTCCCAGCTTGCTCAAGAATGTTCAAGATGAACATAAGCAATAAGAGACTACATATTCTGATCGTCTAGACTTGTACTGAAAAGGAAAATGCATAAGAAATATCTTTAATGTTTTCTATAAATTATTTCTCAACAGAAAACTGTTTTATCATAAGAAATTATCACATCACTTTTTAATTGTCTATTTCAATTCACAAATTTTAAGTGCCACCTACCATAATAAGCTGGATTCTTCAAAGCTCTGATATAGAGGAAAGTTGATCTCACCCATTCTAAAGCTATGTTCACATCAGTGATGGTGTGAAGCACTATTTCAGCATTTAAGTGCTCAATTAGATGTTTGTGCAAACTAATATGAAAAGAGAGAGAAAATGAAAAAATAAGATACAAATTAAATGCATAGAATATATATTATTACCAACCCAGTTTATTCTTAAATAGACTAGAGAACTAGTGATTTGGAATCTAGTGCTGAACCCCTTAAATATAAATATTTAAAAGAATAATACATTTAATTAAGTAATATTAAATATTAAGATGTAAATAGTTGATTTCATTTCTTTATGGGAGAGCTTAAAGACATTTTTATGTCATCCAAAGGAAAAAACAACAAAACCTGACAGCCTTCAGCATAGGCCTACTACAGTCTGATTTCTTCTAAGGATCTTGAATTCTCTAACTGAAATTTTCAGACTCAGAAGCAAATCTTAAAATACCTCAAGTACACTGAACATTTTATTCAAATGATAGAAGCTTGAGACAGTAGTTCTAAGTATGAAATCAAATACGAAACAATCCAAGTTTAAAATTGGATTTGCCCTAGTTGCACTAATTACATCCGGGGTGTCAAACTCAATTTCATTGAGGGCTGCATCAGCATTGCGGTTGCCCTCGGGGGGCCGGGTGGGTGTGGCCTACTGGATGGGCGTGGATGGAGTGGGTGTGGCCTACTGGGTGGGCATGGCCCACATCGTTCGCGTCAAAGGTGCCTGTGGAGGCCTGGGCAGGAGTGGGACAGATCTGAGGGTCTCTGGCAGAAGGGGGTGGGACCGGGGCAAACGCCAAGGCATGGGGAATTTCTTCATTCCTCACAAAGGGTGACACCTCCCCAGCATGCACCCAGGGGGTGAGGCCAACGCGACAGGGGCTGGTTCCTCGCTGTTTCTGGACGGCCTTGTGGAGCTAAGACTGAATGCATTTCAGCATAGATGGCCACCACAAAATTGTACATTGGCTCCTGGCCGGCCTGGGCCAGGGCCAAGGCAGCCGAGGCCGTTCCCTCACTGTTTCCAGGATGGCTTTGCAGGCCACATGAAACCACTTTGCGGGCCGCATCCGGCCCCCAGGCCTTGTGTTTGACATGTCTGAATTACATATTCCAGCAGACAGGAATTCTGTTGACACCTCTTGAACTCATGGTAACTTTTAATAATGCTGATTATGGTATTTTGTTGGAGTTCCTGATGAAGCTGGAGGATGGAAATCCCGCTTTATTAGGTCTGAAATTTCTGTTCCCATTTCTCCAGGTGTTACCAAATGGTAGCCTGGGAAGGCTTAACTCATTGGGAATTAGCCTGTGGGGGGTCTACAAGTTCAAATCTCCAGGACCAGATGGTTTACATCTAAGGAGCTGGCAGATATGATCTCGGCCACTGAATGAAATATTTCAGGGCTCCTGGAGAATGGGGGAATTGTCAAAGGACTGTAAAAGAGCTGATGTGGATCCAATCTTCAAAAAAGGAGGGAAAGTGGGATACAGGAAACTACAAAGCAATAACTGGGAAAATCTCTCGGCGCTGTGAGGAGAGCGCCCCGCTGCCTGCTGAAACCGGGCAAACTGGGGGCTGGGTAGCATTGTGCTTCTTTTGGGATTCGTGCCACCCGGCTTAGCCTCTCGGTGCTGTGAGCAGAGCGCCCCGCTGCCTGCCGAAACCCCTCCCCCGGAGCCCATCAAGCCAGATATGTGAAGTAGGCAACGACCATTTGCTGGCCACTTCCAGGCGATGGTGCATTTCTTCATTCCTCACAAAGGGTGACACCTCCCCAGCATGCACCCAGGGGGCGGGGCTGACGTGGCAGGGGCTGGTTCCTCACTGTTTCCAGACGGAGCTAAGACTGAATGCATTTCAGCATAGATGGCCACCACAAAATTGTACATTGGCTCCCAGCTGGCCTGGGCCAGGGCCAAGGCAGAGGGGGCTATTCCCTCACTGTTTCCAGGATGGCTTCGTGGGCCACATGAAACCACTTCGCGGGGTGCATCCGGCCCCCGGGCCTTGTGTTTGACATGTCTGTCCTAGAGAAACATTTTTAGCAATAATCAAACAAATATGGACAGCATTTCTAGCTACATATTAAAAAAAATTTTAGTTACCTGCTTTCTATTGTATCTGCACCATTTAACATATGAACATACTTGTCTCTTGTACTTAGCCTTGTCATGATAACTGCTGTTGCTGTTGTATCAAACTGTGGAAAATATATATATACAATACACCTTTTCAAGCATAACAGGAAGTAAGCAAACTGAGGTCTTTGAGATTTGTAATTCTAAAAGCTTTAGGAAAGAAACTTCTTGTTGTTTTTATTATTATTAGTTAATTCAAGACACTATATGTTATTGAAAATCCCGATAGGGAATTTCTGAAATGAAAAGAGGTTATAAAATACTTTTACTTTAATTCAATTAAAGAAACACTTCACAAATAAAGTGATACTTCACCCTCTATTAAAATATTATAAATAAGTATAAAACCAGGACTCTCATATAAGAGATTTTTTATGATCAATAAGGAGGATGGCAATGCGTCCGAGGGATTGCGGGACTCCGCACCCCATGGCTGATTTCGTCCTGCCAGGGGACCCTAAATGGCTTGTGTTGTCCGGACACTTAAATGTAATTCATTTTAAGAAAATTATAATTGACAAGAATGTTTTGAATATTGTGGGGAAATTAAGCTCAAATAACAACTTTGAAAACAGGACTTATAGTGATTTAATAAAATAACTTTTCAAAAATACAATTGAAACATGCTGATTATAAAAAATATTATACACTGATGTTAATGTTATTTTTATAAATACTACAAAAATATTTATATTTAACTTTGTATGTATCGAAAGTATTAAGAATTGTATTCACTCAATGTTGGTAAAAGGAAAATACTATTGGAAGAAGAGAAGATCAAAAAAATGTATCACTAGTTAGTATGTTGACTATGGAATTGATTGTTGTTAAATATATGAATCGAGACAACACGTTGTTTAACAAGCTCTAAAGATTTTTATTGTAAAAATTTATATATACTCTACTCTACTCTAAAAATTTGAGTCCCAGGTACATTTATCTGTAAAAGAGGCATACTGACACACTGATCTCCAAGACAGAAAGTTTTTATTGAGTTCTAAGCTTTCGTTAGCCACTGCTAACATTGTCAAAGTGTAAGCTAACATTGTGTGTTTGCTCCAGTTGGTGGCCTCTCAGCCATGCTCGCCAAGTCAATCGCACCAATTTGCTGTCTCATCCTCGATCTCGTAGTCGGTTCAGTCCGTTCTCCCATCTCCTCAATCATCATGGGTTCCAGCTGTACAGGCATATCAGTTGATGTGTAGTCAGGATCTCTCATCTTTTTACCCTGAGTAATTACACGGGTGTTGACAGCGTGTTGGACCGTGATGGTGGGGGGAGTGACCATGTGGCAACATCAGATGGTCTGACGCTATATGACAGGCATGTTTGGCCGGCGGGGCAAGTGGCAGGAGGCAGAGCGGTGAGAGCTTGGCGGATGCTGGTCAATGCAATTGAGCTAAGATCAATACGTCCAATCACATGTGGGCGGCGGATTGATGGACCTATTACGCACTCAATGGCCAAATTACCAACACTTAAAGGGCTATAAAACAAAGTCTTTCCAATATTAGCTTACACTTTGACAATGTTGGCTAACAAAAGCTTAGTGCTCAATAAAACTTTCTGTCCCGGAGAAGGAATATGGGCTGAACACTGTTCTAATAATTTCTTCATAAACTCACAGAATGAACATTAAAAATATCAAGTTTTGGATTAGAAATAGAATTTATATAAAAATTACACAAAATGGTAAAGTTGCCAGCATTATACTTCATATACATTTTTCTTGCAGCCTTGCTTATCAGTTGCAAAAGTTAAAATATAAAATTAGAGCATTCTAGCTAGTGCTAACAAGCAAGTTCTTTTTTCCTACTGATGTTTTACAGATTAATTCAGAAACATTAAACCTTCAATTTTAAACTCTAGTAACAACCATAGATTTTCTCAGCTATATTATTTTTTCAACAATAGCTCTAATGTGCTAATAAAATGTTTGAAAATAAGATGGTGAAACATTCATTTACAACATAATTAATATATCAAATGTGAGATATAATTTGGTGTAGTATTAAGGCACTAGGTTAGAAACATTGAGATTGTGAGTTCTAATTTGGCCTTGGATACAAAGCCTGATGCATGACCTTGGGCCTGTCATACCCTCTCTGCCCTAAGAAGCAGGCAATGGCGAACCAATTCTGAAAGCTTGCCAAGAAAACTTCAGGGATTAATGCAGGTAGTTGCTAAGAGTTAGCAATGATTCCAAGGCACACACACACAAATTAATCATATCAAACGCCAAATTTTACTAATGTCATATAAAAGTTGCTTTAAGATAAATTAATCTTACTTGAGGTCTTCCTGCTCTCCCAATCATTTGCAAAATATCAGTTTCACTGTACTCTTGAAACATTCCTCCAGCATAATGCATTGTTGATTTTATAACTACCAGGTGTGCTGGTAAATTTACTCCCATGGCAAGTGTACTAGTAGTAACTGCAAAAATCAAATATTAAAATGTTACAAGAGATGAGTTTTAAAAAACTGAATGTTTTTATAATGTACCAGACTTTCTCCCTTTCAATACAATGAAGTGAGAAAAAAAGTTTTAAGCTTACTTTTTCAATTCTCTATCATAACATTATATATTATATTTTGCTGATACAACCCCTATTATTTCAATGCAGTATAATCAAATACTGTGTCAAATTGTAGCAGGTTATTTCATTTTGCATATATCATATGTAGCAACAGTGTAAGTATATATGGCACATATATCTAAAAGGCTGGAAAGTGGAGATATCTGTAGCTCACAATTAAAATTTTGAGATATTGATGTGTGCTGAACTTGGTTTCTTCTTCCAATGTTTCATTACCAAAGTAGCTAATATCATCAGTGCTCTGAACAAGGTAGAAGAGTTTACACATATAAAATTTAACAAACACATTTGCTGGGGTCAAAAAACTGATAATGTTACTAGTTTGGTAATGAAATATCTATAAGAAGTTAATTAGTGAAACTGAAATTCAGAAAATCTGCAACAAAATAGGAATTTGACTCCAAGCCCTCTTCTTCATGTCCATAACCATGATTACTTTTCCATGCTGTGCTGCCTTTGTATTTAGATAACTTTGAATAGCAATTTTTTAAAAAAATAATTATTAATTTACCAACAGGCCCTCCCAGAAATCCAGAAACCAGAGTTTTCCAGAGTTATAATAAAAATTAAAAATGACAGCACATAAATATAAAAGTGCAAAAAACAGAACATCTCATCATGATATTTAATTTCAATATTATTAAGTGAAAAAGGGATAAACACCTATTCTAAGTCTTACCTTTGAAAGTTAGTTGCAAGCCAAATTGCCCTTCTGTTCCCATACCACATTTATAAACTATCATAACAAATTCCATTTTTACAAGTTAATGTTTTTTAAGATTATCCTAGTTTTAAAAAATGAACTTCCAAGCTCAAATTATCCTACTTTAGATATATTATGTGGACATCTAGTTTTCTGGAGAAAACTTTACTGCTGGGGAAAGTGGAAGGAAAGAGAAGATGACCAGCAGCAAGAAAGTTACAACAGTGAGGAGTGCATTGTTGGGGAGAGCTGAAAGGAACAAATTGTCATGAAGAAATTCTATCCTGAAAGTCAACATTGATGTGATAGCACATAATTAATCAATTAACTAATCAATCATTCAATAACAGGTTGACTGTTAACTTTTTAAAGAAATTAAGTATCAAAATTATTTTTATTCTGAAATGTACTCACAAAGAACTGGTATATCTCCCATATTAAAAGCTGTTTCAATTGTTTTTCTATCAGACATTTCTACTCCAGCATGATGATAAGCAACTCCACAAATTAAGAGATCTACAAATGAAATTCAAACTTGAAATATTGTTGATTTTTTCCCCTTATACATAAATAATTATAGTTTCTCCAATTAGCATAACTTACATACCCCTAAGCTTGGCTTCTTTTATTAAATTTGCAGATCTTTGTAATCTTCAGGGAGAGAACAAGAAAATATGGCAGTTGCAATAAGTCCTTAAATAAGTACAAAAAATTAATAGTTTTTTTTTTTTGAAAGATCACTCTGTTTGATTTCATCATGATAAACTTCAGATTGGACAGGGATGAAAAACAGGAGAAGCCCATTTATCACCTGATAAGGCTAAAAGGTTTTCACCCATTTCATGACAGCAATAAATAAACTCTTTTAGTTCAGAAAATTTCCATTTTTAAAAAACTGTTCTCATTAAAAATTATTCTCATACCAGCACTTGTCTTCCTTCTTCAATGAATGCATACTTTCTCTCCAGGCTTGGAGATCTGGCTGTGCCATAGAACCTATGCAATGGTTTTGTTGAATGTTGTTGGCTTTACTATTCCTTGGTTGTGAATTGTGTTATATAAATTTTACATGGTTTTATATTATTTTATATTTTTATACTGTATTCTTTTTTGTTTTGGTTTTAATTGTAAGCTACACAAAACCATATATTTGAGATGGGCAACTATAAAATTGAAATAACAAATAAATATTTTTACTGTACTCATACAGAGAAAGATCTATATATATGCAATTAAAGCAGTAAAATTACTGCTTCAAGAAATTGACTGAAAATCACTCCTCTCCTTTCTTTCCTCTCATCCCTCTTCAGATACAATTCAGGGGTAATGTCCGAACAACTCCTCTCTCCAAATTTCCCTATCTGTATTATATACAATAAGATTAATTTTCTCTTACATTAATACTTCTATTTATCTAACCTTCTCAGTATATACGTCTATAAATATGTATACAACCTCCAGTTATTCAATACTATNTCTCTTTTCAGCCAATCATAAAAAGTTCCCCAGATTTCATAGTAGTCTGACTCTGTCTTATCTTTAATCGTCATTGTTAGTCTATTCATTTCTGCACATTCCAGTATTTTCCCAATCACCTCTCCCTCTGGGGGGGCTTTCAGTGCTTTCCAATTTTGTGCAAACACAATCCTGGCTGCCGTAATTATATGAATAATTACGTGTATTTTTAAGGAAATTTTAAGACTTGTTATGTGGAGACTGGAAAAAACAATAAAAATATTCAGCACTAATGCTCTGATTGTTGGTATCTGCTACATAATTGCAGAGCGCAGAGAGATTTACTTTAGATATTCCAAAAGCAAATACTTTACAAAAGGATGAATTTAATTACATCATAAGTAAGTGATCTGATGCTATTAATTTGCATTCCCTGAAATAGTCCTATGGAAAATATTCTTAGCAAAATCACTTCATTATCTAATCACCACATGCTATCATGGGGGTAGTCCATTATAAATTGATGAGAAACACAGATTTTGCTACATACAGACTCTGCATATGTTGTAACTAGGAGAAAGCCTGCATTACAGGGTACCTTTGTTTTTGTTCTATAGTCATAATAAATTTAGCATCTTTTGCCAGTACAGAAGCAGCTTGCTGAACTCCTTTCCTTGTGGCACAGAACTGTAAATAAGAAAATCCATTGTTTATAATAATTCTGAAATGTACACTAGAACATGACAATTGTTAAGGGGAAATTGTGATGCATACCACAAGTGCTGGCTTTTGTTCAGAATATGTTTGAATAACACTAGCTACTTTATAGTTAAGTGTTAAGTCAAATTTGAATGCAGTTTGATTGCTACTGCAGGGAAATCCAAGCACAACTTTGTGAAGCTTCACTGGACGGTGTCTTTCATCTATTTTCAGGCATACAGCAGGCCTCTTGCCATCTGAAAGCCATTCTGCAATCTTTAAAGGAAAAGAAAACATGTTAGGATTGAAATTGGAAAAAGATGCCTTGGGCTGCAGTCCTGAAAGTACTTGCTCAAGAGGAACTATACTTTAATCATGAAAGCTCCACTGGCAGAAATATTTTTAGATTTACTGTACTGGGTATTCAGTGTGTTTATTTGTGTCATGAATACAAAGTACTGTTCCAGAAGTTTTACCAAGATTTACCAGCTAATACTGCTAAATACTGCCTATATGTCAGTCTTTCTGCTAGAGTGCTTCCTACGTTATATGAAGATGGGTGAGTGGAGAATGTTATTTATATGTAAGATATTAGATATTAGTGACAGATTTTATTTTCCTGGGCTCCAAGATCACCGCAGATGGGGACTGCAGCCAAGAAATTAAAAGACGCTTGCTCCCGGGGAGGAAAGCTATGGCAAATCTAGACAGCATACTAAAAAGCAGAGACATCACCCTGCCAACAAAAGTGTGTATAGTCAAGGCCATGGTTTTCCCAGTTGCAATATATGGCTGTGAAAGCTGGACCATAAGAAAGGCTGAGCGACAAAGAATTGAGGCCTATGAACTATAGTGCTGGAGAAGACTCCTGCGAGTCCCCTGGACTGCAAGGCGATCAAACCGGTCAGTCATAGAGGAGATCAACCCTGACTGCTCTTTAGAAGGCCAGATCCTGAAGTTGAAATTCAAATACTTTGGCCACCTAATGAGAAGGAAGGACTCACTGGAGAAGAGCCTAATGCTGGGGAAAATTGAGGGCAATAGAAGAAGGGGACGACAGAGAATGAGGTGGCTGGATGGAGTCACTGAAGCAGTAGGCGTGAGCTTAAATGGACTCCAGAAGATGATAGAGGACAGGAAGACCTGGAGGAACGTTGTCCATGGGGTCGCGATGGGTCGGACACAACTTCGCTACTAACAACAACAACCTTAGGTGTTCTGTATAATATTCAATCACTGCATCTCTGGCATTACAGTCAGAAAAACTGAGTAGAAACTGCAGTAAATGTAAATATTGAGAAAAGAGAACAATAAAATTTCAAAGTCACTTGCAGTGATTTATTGGCTGTCCCATGCACAACAGGAATCAGAAATGAGCATTATGAATATAGTAAATGTGATCCTTTATTCACTCAAGTAGATCATAGCAAACAGTTCCTTCTTCCACATTCAACCAAATAGCCAGTACACATATCCTAGATGTCCGAGCAAACAGGCTGGAGAATCCATAAATGCAAGTTGGGATTACTTCTCTTTTTTTAGCTATAGAGGACAAATACTATAATGTTTCTGATATTCTGGCCTTTGGCAGGTAATAATAATAATACTGACTGAACTTTCCTGAGGAAAACCAGGAGGAAATTACACATTGTTTCCCCTTTTGTTTTTTAAAAAATCTATCTTGAGACAAATAACAGGGAGGTAGCTAGACGTAAAAAGAAGCAGATCACTCAGAAAGGACCAAAGGAAAGAAAACATAGAAGACATTTTTCTGATTGCAGAAAAATGTAAGCAAAATGGAGACTGGAAAAATAACCACATGGGTTCAATAAGCTAGTTTCCAGGAGAAAAGCACAACCAAGAGATGCTCAAGCAGAAGGGATTGTGATAAGAGCAAAGATAACCATTTCTGACACTGGAAGTGAGGAAGAGTGATACATCTGAGCCAAGAAAAACTTTTGGAAACATGAAAGCACTGTTTGCAGGAACAATAAAAGTTTCTACCAGTGATGAGATTCAGTCGGTTCGCAGAACCGGTAGCCCAGAATGGACTTCCGGATGCGGCATCCACACAGAGAACCGGTTGTTCACATATTTGAATCCCACAGTTGGTTTCTACCTGATCAGAGCGGGACCCATGGTAAAAGCAGGCCAAAATATTTTAGTGTTGGAGGTAGGATAAAGCATTGAGGCATAAACCAAAAATCTGTAGAGAGCCAACAGGAGCTAAGATGTGCTTCTACAACTCTGACTGAAGGTTGCAAGCTATGGGAGTCAGAGATTACTTAGGACAAGCTAGCTGGATAAGCACAGTGAGAGAAATCATTTCTGTCTTAAATAAGATTAGGGTTAAATTCTGCTTTTAGATTCTTTTGTTTTAAAATATAGTAGTCTGATGCATTAGAGGATCAGGAGAGATATGACAGTGTCTGTATATCATATTTGAAGGGCTGTCACAGAAGGGAGAACGAACTTATTCTTTATTAATGGTTAAAACTACAATGAAACAGATTTAGGGTAGACATCAAGAGGGACAAAACTGATTGAATGAGCTTTTAACCAGGGGAACAAGCTGCAAGTGCAGTAGTTCATGGAATGGACAACAGATTAGGTGTCCCCTGGAAAATAACTGATGCTCAAATGGATTACCCCAAAGCAGCAGAAAGGATTAGGATATGAATTACCAATCTATATACTATTGGACTGAAATTCACGCAAAAGCCATGCTGACTGAAGTTCTAGGAAGATGCAGCTATAAACATTTAATTCCCCGTTCAAGCCTTGCTGTGCTGCCTCATCATGATGGGGAGAGTTCCTGCAAGAGAGGAGTAAACAATGTAGGGATTGTATGCCAAGTCCCAAAAGGATTATCCAAAGTTAAACAAGCCTCAGCAGTATAGGAATATGCTGGTGGTGGATGTTTATTTTAGTGACAACAGCAATTGAATAATTTTATACTATGTGAAAGAAAGCAATGATACACACACATTTTACTAAGACAAAATAAAGTAATTGGTGATATAGTGCTGGTTCTTTCAGGTTGGATGGCACTTAATATTCTACTGGGGAAAAGCTTGGGATTTTTTGGAGTACTAATGATATTTATGCCTCAGCTAGATTAAAGCTTTCCAGATATCTAGTTGCTAATGTTGCCACACAGGAACAGAAAATCCAAAGCTGCAAAGACAGAGCTACTGTGGGAATATGGAGTGTCAGAAGCATATACGTAGGAAAGCTCAACTCAGTGAAAGATGAAATGAATCAACTATTTGGTAAGGTAGCGCTCGAGGCTTGAAAAATATATTCAAGTGTTGTGAAGTGTCTGTACCTACAAAGACCAGAATCATGTTAGCAATAGTTTTCCCCAGGACAGTCTATGGAAGCAAAGGTTGGACTGAAAAAGCTGGGTAGAAAAAGCATTGCCTTTTTTGAACTTTGGTTTTGGAGAAAACTTTTGATCGTATCATGGATAGCCAATAAAACAAACAAATGGTTCATAGAACAATCATCCAGAATTCTCTCCAGATAAAAATGACACTGAAAATGTAACATATTAGACATATTATGGAAGACCTAAAGGGCCAGGTCTAGCTATGCTATGCTAGCTTATGCTGACACTGACTTGTGGTAAAAAAAAATCGAATATTTAGAGATGACAGTGTGAAACGGAAACCTTCACTGTGCTTAGCGCATATATTACAAACTTATGACCCACAATGCATTTTGGAATCCAGTCATTAGATTGCCAGTACTGTAACCTGTATTGTATTCAACAAATATGAGAGAAGTACAGAGTTTGCCCATCAAGCATAGCCTTTTAAATTTAAAGTACTGTAATTGTCTTTTCGGTACAACAATAAAGAAATCAGTTGATAAACGTTGATATTTTTCTTTTTGGGATGTTTGGTTTTGGAGAGCAAAGCAGTTGAACAGAGAAAAAAATCTTTTTGAAATATAAAGTACAGTATAAAGTATAAAAAGAAAAGTTAATTCATGTTTCTTACATCTTCTGCATTTGGAATCGTTGCAGAAACTGCCACAAATCTCATGGGAAATACTGAGCTAGGATTGTCAGAACTTTGTGAGAAAGAAGACTGAATAGTTTTCATCCGGCTGACCACAACTTCAAGAGTAGCACCCCGGCTCTCATCTTTTACAACATGTACCTATGGAATTAAATACAACTGTATATAAAACATATACTGCTTTCTGTCATTATATTTTAAGTCACCTGTTACTACTTTACCTCATCAATGAGGATAAGTCTCACTAGCTGAACTAAAGAGTTATCTCTCCATTTTCTAGTCATGCTATCCCACTTTTCCTGCAAAGTAGAAAAAAATGTATCATTGTAGTACAATCTAAATCATCTGTTTTATAGGATTAAAAATACCGTTGGTACTGTCAATTGCTATTATTACTACACCTAGCAATTAGCTTTAGCGTTATAAATACTAAGAATTATTTCAAAGTGTCTTTGTTTCAAGCTAGCAGGACTTTTATATAAAAAAAAAGTACTGCAGATCAAATTCAAACAGAATTTCAGAGTAATGCTGCATTTTCACCCTTCAGATTTAATTATTGTGTAGCTGATGCTACTCTACGCAGCAGCAAAGAAACCTCTCATGCATGCTATGTGACCAATTCACAGTGAAACTATAGATAAATCAACTGGAGACTGATCAGGCTTATTTCTAAACATAAAAATATAACTTGAATGGTACTGAATATTTCTAGTTAGCAAACCAACATTAACTAATTTTTGAAACTTACTGGTGTGGTCAAAATAATGTGAGCATGTTGTATTTCAAATAAGTCATCCACTGCTGTATCTCCTGTTAGCTCCTTACAGATGAGTCCAATGGGTCCAAATTTTAATTTCCAATCATCAAAGCGCTGACTGCAGAGAGCTTTTATTGGAGCCACTAAAAACAATACCAAGTGTTGTGAGAGAACAAGACATCCACAAAATAACTCCAGTACAATATCTCCAATACTTTTCCACTTTTTCCACTCAAAATTTCAAATTCAAAGTTAGGGCTATATTCTAATGATTTTTCATATACTATATATTCTACTTCTTTCACTGAACCTTAGCTGTATACTCTTTAAAATATTAAACTTTTTTCTCAAGTTTTTTTTTAAAGAGCATACATTTTTATTTTAGCTTACGTATTAATTTTGTAATAAATCAACATTTAAAAAGAGCAATTCTACATTCCTGGGGAGATTGGCTGCAGCGCCGTTATATCTCATGAATTTCTTTTTTGCTAACTTCGCCATATTTTCATTGTCATCAGTAAAGGACAATTATTCTGATGGCAGTACAGAAAGTAACAGATTGAAAAGGACCAGGCGACACCTTGCAGCTGCCAGATTCAAGCCCTGTTCCTGGTGCCACTAGACAATACAAAATATTTACCAAATTTGGAGCTTCTGGATTTATTTTTCTTACTAGTGAAATAAATAAAATAAATGTTTTAATAGAAAAATGCAATGAAAGCAAAGGATATCCCACTCCCTGAGCAGAACTATTTTTGCCTCTCTGTGCACTGCAGAAAGAGTATAGCCCAATCATTACATATCACTGTCTGCTTAAAACAAGGGTCACCTTTCTCTGTGCAGAAAGAATTTCCAGTATAAGTGACAGAAGCAAAGTTTAGACCAGCAGACTAAGCTTTGAAGGAAGATCTTCCTATATATACAACTTTACCCATTGAATCATATCAGGAAAGGGCACAGCTAAGTTTCTAACTACTGGCCTAAGAGGCCTTCCAGAACAAGACTTATGAAAAAATAAATCAAAACCACATTATGCACAACTATAAAACAAAATAAATAAATCATTATTAAAATATATAAACATAGTTTTGTTGCTGCCATAAGGCTACATGCAATAACCAAAACATCAAGCAAAAACAAAGTAGTTTTATGAGCAGTAATAATAATTTCAACAAATAGTATACTTACTATATACAATTTTAATATTTAACCAAGGTATTGGCACCTTGATTAATAATCTGGTAACTGCAAGCTCGAACATTACAGTTTTTCCAGAACCAGTTGGTGCGCAGATTACAAAATTTCTGTCTGTGTAAAGAAGCTACAAAACAGTAACAAATAGTAAAATATAGCACAGCAGCCAACAACATCTATTTTGACTTTAAAAAACCCACTTTTTTAAAAACACGAGAAGCAAAGGAGCCTAAACTAGAATATTTTATTTTTTTCTTTGCTTTGCCATTGAACAATTGTGAATAATATATGGTATTTAAAATGATTATGTGACATGGTCTGAAACAACATTGCTAACATAAAACCAATTCTCAAGTCCCAGGAGGAAATAGTGCACATAGGAGAAAAATAGCATATGACATATCATATGGACTAGCAAAATATATTAACATTTCAGCTACATAAGTAAAACACAGTAAAATATAAATGTTCAAAAGATTTATGTTCAAATACCGATGTCTAGGCTATCTAACCATTGAAGCTCAGTATCACTTATATTAAAAAAAAAATCAGATACTGGACTGGTATATATGCCCTCAGCTTATAACTGGTCACTATGTGATCTACAGTTTGACCTGGGACCCTGCAGTCACACTGAGGGGAGGATACGATGGCCTTTCTAGACAGAGAATGCTGGCAGATGCCATGTGAGGTGTAAATCCTACTCAGGATTGTCCATTCCTGATGTGGTAGTTCAAAGCCTGGCACCTTTTTTGGTGGGGTCATTTATGTGTTTTCCTATGTCTGGGCATTCAGCGACCCATTTGGCTTTCCATTGGGAATCAGTGTTAAAGTTCTTGGGCAGATGTTGTGCAAGTGCCATCAGGGGCTTCCTAGATTTGAGTCTTTTGGCTGATAAATGTCTTTAATATTTAATCTGTCTTTACAAATATACAATAAAAATTGTCAATCATATACATCCCTATCAACATAGGAGTTTGAAATATTGTATTTTCCTGTCTAAGTTGCTTATACCGTGATCTTATCATATTTATCAAAAGGTAAATCCCATAAAATTAAAAACTTCATTCCAAAATAAGAAGGTATAAGATTGTAGCTTTGGGCAATGATGACATTTGAAGAGATTTTGGAAAATATACCTTATAAATTTGCTCATTATACTCTAAAAATGTTTATTTCTTTACTGTAGCATAGGCCATAGATCACAACAAGAAAAGCAGGTCTGTTGGGATTTTAGCAGGCTGCTATAAATAACAGTGGAGCTATATTTTGACAGAAGATAACAAACTGCAAATCTCTGGAGCACAATGTAGGGAGATGCTGCATTTCCATGGTGACAGGACACATGAATATGATAGGAGGCATTGGTCAAGCTGTTCCAGGTGAAGGTTGGCTGTAAGGAAGTTTTGTAAGATGGTAGTGAAGCCAGAGCTACAGACAGTTCTGGAAGAAATGGATTTTCTAGACTCTTTTCAGACTGAGTTGGAAATCACATCAATCACCCTGCTGAACCACCTTTATTGGATCTTGGAGAAAGTGCACCCCTAACTGTCTCCCCGATGCTATGTAATTATGAAAATACATGAAATTGCTGTGTGAGATCATCCATTTGTTTGGAATGATGTGCCATCATCTGCAGATGATACTCAATTGTATAACACTCCAGACCAGGGACTGGAGATGGGGTAAGGACCTGGCCTGATGTCTGGAAGCTGTTAGAGCTTTGATGGGTTTTAACAACCTCAGATTAAATCCCTGCAACCTGAAGTTGTTGTTCGTTGCTGATAAATCTGACATTACTGGTTCCAACTGACTCAGAATAGGATTATCTTTCTCCTAAAGAAACAGGTGTGTAACTTGAAATTACTCCCGAACTTGCAGTTCCTGTTAAAGCAGTGAGCTGAGGCTATGGTCTGAAGCATTTTGTCCAGGTTTGATAGATGTGTCATTTGAGAACCTTTCTGAATTATAAGAGCAGGATATCAATAATGCAATCTTTATGGGTTAATTTTGAAGATAAACCAGGAAATTATAACAGATCTAAAATGTGACAGCCCATCCTGACTCTGGACAATAGATTTAACAATTTAACACCAATACTGTAGCCACCTCGTTAGCGCCCATTTTACCTGCAGATTTTAAAAAGTCTTGTTGTCCCCTTTAAAGTCCTACAGACTTGATTCCTGGATTCTTATAGGAACATCTTTCCTGGTAAGAGGGTCAGAGGACACTGAGGGTTCCCACCTGATGGGAAGTGATGTAAATGTAACCTGATAATGCTTCTCCTCAGTAAATGTCTTACACTGCATAATACCTTGCTTCCTGAAATAAAGAATGACCTCCTGGTCTTGAAGAAGGTGCTTTGTTGTTGTTGTTGTTAATTGCGAAATCATGTCCAACCCATCGCGACCCCATGGACAACGTTCCTCCAGGTCTTCCTGTCCTCTACCATCTTCTGGAGTCCATTTAAGCTCACGCCTACTGCTTCAGTGACTCCATCCAGCCACCTCATTCTCTGTCATCCCCTTCTTCTATTGCCCTCGATCTTTCCCAGCATTAGGCTCTTCTCCAGTGAGTCCTTCCTTCTCATTAGGTGGCCAAAGTATCTGAGTTTCAACTTCAGGATCTGGCCTTCTAAAGAGTAGTCGGGGTTGATCTCCTCTAGGACTGACTGGTTTGAATGCCTTGCAGTCCAAGGGACTCGCAGGAGTCTTCTCCAGCACCATAGTTCAAAGGCCTCAATTCTTTTGCGCTCAGCCTTTCTTATGCTCCAACTTTCACAGCCATACATTGCAACTGGGAAAACCATGGCCTTGACTATACGCACTTTTGCTGGCAGGGTGATGTCTCTGCTTTTTAGTATGCTGTCTAGATTTGCCATAGCTTTCCTCCCCAGGAGCAAGCGTCTTTTAATTTCTTGGCTGCAGTCCCCATCTGAGGTGATCTTGGAGCCCAGGAAAATAAAATCTGCCACTACCTCCATTTCTTCCCCATCTATTTGCCAGGAATTGAGAGGGCCAGATGCCATGATCCTACTATTCTGCAGGACATTTGGGTGATGAGGATGGAAGGCTACTTCTGGATATTTATTTATTGTCTTTTAGTTTTTGTTCTAGTTACTTCCCAAGAACGTAAGAATAGTTCAATACCAGTATTGTTATAATTAGCTCATACTTACATCGTCCAAAGCCTTAGATTGAATATAATTAAAATAAGGGAATTCTTTGAAAATATTTCTAAATTGAGAGGCTTAAAACTCGTATTAAGGAAACACTTTAGTGAAGTACGGGTACAATTTTATCTAAACATAAGTATAAAAAAACCTTCTAATATTCCACATTTGTTGCATTACATAAAATAGGTCTTAAAACAAAGGAATAAACACAAGAGAAAACTGAAAGAAGAAAACAAATGTCTTGGAGAAAATCTGTAATAAATATTTATAAAATTACCGATTAATTTACCAAACATAAACATTATTCATTTATACGGGTAAATTAATCCAACGACCCTGCTATGCTAATGGGCCATATAATAGTACTGCACCTCAATATATGAATAACATAGAGATGTTTATTATTCATGTTATGGATCATGACCCTTGCTATAATGATGAATTTGCTCAATTAGCTTTCCTGATATTATACACCCATATATAGGAACCCCTTAGCCACATGATGAATTTTTGGATTTTAAAAGACCTATTGCTTACATCCAAGAAATGTTATATAGTTATAGCAATAACTTATAAAAGGATACGGATTTCAGTCACAGGCCTCAAAATCACGGAGTCATTTTTAGATACCACTAGTAACAAAACAACAACAAAAAACGTTGGTTTAATTTTCTTTCTTTCTCATTCACATACACATTATACTTGATCTTAGCCAATATTTATTTAAACAGCACAAATAAAAACAAAGAAGATTAGATTCTGACCTAGTTGTACTTATTTGTGCAATAAATAGGCAGGGGAGGATAGACTAAATATTGATATTCTGTACAAATCTTGATATTTACAACATGAAAAATGGCAGTAGTAACTATCTTTTCTATTACAGTTTACTATGTTAACAGATATGTTGAGGACAGGCTGTAATCCCATTGGCAATAATGTAACATTGATGTTGGTTGGTGTGATGGTTGAAGTTAGCCCCATCAGTGAAGTAAATAGTAGAGGAAGCCAATGCTGGGAATAGCAATGAAGTGCTGAAGGAGAAAATTTCTTGTCAGCTGTTTCCTGGTATGATAAACAAGTATGTTATTTCTGGTGTTGAATAAATTTTTAACTTCCAGTCCAGTCAGCTTTTGTACATGAACTGGAAAAGACTACCAAGAAAAAACCAAAATATTTTGGACCAAATTTGCTTGATATCTAAAATTTTCAAAAGAGTGATCTGGTGAGATAAGTGTTTTGTATTAATTTGAAATCTGCAAACTACGATTCCATGCTTTATACAGTATAACAAACTTATTTACAAAATATAGCTTACAAGAAGGTAATGCTTGTAAAAAGCTTCTTTGAAGGCATTAATAAAATATATTCCTACTCCAATTTAAATAATTTCTAACCCTAACTTAATCTTTATAATTGTTTCTGGGGGCTTCTCTGATGGGTGTTTCTAAATAAAGCTTCTCTGATATAATCAAACCTTCATGATTTACAGGGTTTTATAAGTAACCTTCTGTGCTGTCACACTATTCCTTCCATACTTTCTTGTTATCAAGTAAATTTATAAGACAAAAAAGACATATGTCTTTGAATTGATAGCACTGTACCTCAAATTCCCACATACTTAGAGGTTTTTTTAAAATGTCATACAAATAGCCCTGGGTAAATGATGGCAATTGGTACTGGAATCACATTGAGATCACAAGTTCTGGCATTTCTGGTTGCTATGATTAAGTGAATCCCATGCTATTGCTAAGCATGTCGTCTGATTGGCGTGTGCAACTTCCTGTTGGTTTCCCTGTTGACTTTGCTTGCCAGTATGGTCACAAATGGTGATCGCATGACCAGAGGATGCTGCAATGTCCTAACTGTGCATTGGTCCTACTATAAGTATCAGTTATTCAGCATTGTTGTAAGTTTGAATAGTTGCTGAATGAGTGGTTATTAAACAAGGACCACCTGTACTTTGATATTTCTTCATCGCTATATAGATAGATTAAACTGATAGGCTTGGAACCAAAAGAGAAAAGAATATGTGAAAATAATATTTCCCCCCATCTATTTGTTTGGTCTTAAAATAGAGGAATACTGAACTCTATGTGACTGGCATTTTCTTGTACCCTATTATAACAACTTCAGTGTTATCTAGCTTATGTATACTTTTTGTGATTCATTTTTTTCTAATTTGCATTTACCTAATTTATCCAATTTACCTTCTACATAAGTAGTGTAGCCCTATCCCTAACCTTTGTTTTACATAATTCTAACAGATTAACTTTCTGTATTTCTGAATCTGATTCTGTTCATGAACATACATTATTCATAGTTATTGCATGAAAGCTGTAATTTAAGTACCTTTTTGCAGGAAAAAGTGTAGAAAAAAGTATAATTTACCTTCCATACTAGAGTTCTCTAAAATACGTGGTGCTTTTTTAATTTCCTTTGTATTTGTAGAAGCAGAAAAAATATTATTTATAGAAAGATAATTAAAATCTGAGTTTTGGACTTTCTGCACATTATTTTTCCATAAGTCTTTTTTCATCTCTTTGTTTTTAATAATATTGCAATATGTATCCATTTCTATCTTTCCACTGGCATTATCTGCATATGTATAAGAAGCTGGTTTAAATAAGCTGTAAAAAATGCAAAGGATTTTTTTTAATAATATACACAAACACACACACCTATTTATATGACAATTATATATTTTTGTTCTGTTGCATTGTTTCTAGTAACTAGTTTTTTAAAACTTTATAAACAACTTATATAACTTTGATTATTTAGTTGATCGGTCCATTAGTACAGGTAAGTATTGTATGCTCTCTTGCTGAGAGGTATTGCTCAGATCATCTCTCATATATCTGCTTTTTCAATCTACCCTAACATCCATTTCTACTGAGCTTCTGAAAAATTACATAACTTGGATATTGCAATATGCAGTAAATCAAAGTTTTCAAAGAACTGAAGAAGAAAACAGAAGGAAGCAAAAGCTTTCATTCTAACTTACTACAGTCTTGTTTTCATTTCATTGTTTATATCTGGGTACTTAATGAAGGAAAAACTCAATGAACACTATACATTCAATAAAAAAAATATATGCATCCCTCCTTGAACTCTGCCTAGCTGAAAGTTACTTAGACTTTCTTAACAAATTCTTGAAAAAGGACAATCTAATGAGCTGAAATAAATCACCAAAAACTACTTTCTAATGCCAGAGTAATGGGATGTTACATTCCCATTCCTGTAGTAAAAATTTTATGACTAACATCTATGAAGCCTAGGTTACAAAGCTATATTCTGTAAGATGCCACAGGACTATGTCTTTGTGAGCAAATTGAAGAGTGATGGCAAATCAGTTGTCCCAAAGATGAAACATTTAGCTTCCAATCCAAGAAGCTTCTTCAGTTCTAACTGACTGGTGGAAGAATTCATATTCTTTGCAGTCATCTGGTTGTTAGCACTCTGAGAGTCAGTGGTTGGTTCTCTGAGAGTCATTGAGGCCACTTGGGGTTTATCTGTATTCCCAGTCACCTGAATCAGAGTGCAAATGGGTATAGAAACTTCTTGGGATGTTTTCAAAACAAAAACAAGCCCAGTTGCCTTTTGGAAAAAAGCATTTTGGGGACAACCATGACTTGAATGATTGACAATCTCCATAGACGTTTGGCAAATAAGCTATTTCTTAACTCAAAATAAATTAAATTCTGTGTTTAAACCCTTATAAAAGATGTTTTGCCTAAGGCATTTCCAACTGCTGTACTAAAACATTGTTCCCAGATATTTTACATTCAAAAGAATAGTAATATGGTTTTGATAATTATTAAAATTGACACAGAATCATACCTTTTCCTGAATGTTGAACAAGCACTTTCATCACCATTTTCTTCTGGAAAATTAATTAATATTTATTTTTTAAAGGGCTTTATAAGACAAGTTCTGCTTATGTTCTAATCAACACATGGAGAACAATGGAGCTGATTCCAATCTGTTGCCCCCAAAAATATTATATTCCTGCCCCAATTTTAGCCGGTAGTTACTATAATTCTCTTTGTAAGCAGACTTCTAAAAATAAACAATATCATGCTTGTTATTAATCTGTCAGTTCAATAATGATTATATTGTACTCATTTTAAAAAATTTTTTAACATGGATAACAATTTTTTTATATCTTACATGCATATGTCACGTATAATATTCTTTCAAAATATATAAAGCAAATTATAAATTCAAATTAATTTTACTTTAAAATATAAATTCAGAACATCACAGTAAAATTAAGAAAATCTAAAATAATTTATCACATGATTTATCACTTGTTACTTCTATGTACACTGAGAGCTTATGCACTGGAGACAAATTCCTTGTGTGCCCAATCACACTTGGCCAATAAAGAATTCTAATTCGTGCCCACAGTATAAAAATGACAATAAAGGTTATCTTATCTTATCTTATCTTATCTTATCTTATCTTATCTTGTCTTGTCTTGTCTTGTCTTGTCTTGTCTTGTCTTGTCTTATCTTATCTTATCTTATCTTATCTTATCTTATCTTATCTTATCTAAATAAAGGGATTCCTCCTCTTTTTATAGACTGGCATTTCAGAAGAAATTCATACATTGAAGCACATGTGAACCTTCTGTTCATTTTTGAGCTGATTTCAACCCCAAAACACTTATCATATAGCATGATTTAAACACATAAACATATATTTATTTTATTCAATTAAATGTATAAATTGCCACAAGAATGATATAATAGGCTTGCATGTGGCCAGCAGCTAGCTAGCGAAGGGCCAGGCAGGGCATACTTAGTCAGCAGCAGGAGGAAGAAGATGATGAAAGTGACTGGAGCAGCAGAGTGGAGGGTAGCTGGCAGGGGCCTCAGAGGGCAGGGCAACTAGGGCAGATGGGATTGGTATTGGGCTGGAGCAGCTAGGGATTTGTGCTGCATTGCTAGGCCGGACTAGGGTGATTGCAGCTTTTGGGGATGGCTATGGATTCACACGGCACTGCCAAGCTGGGGTAACTAGAGCTTCCTGGAGCAGCTTCAGCTTTGCATGGTACTGCTGGGTCAGCTGTGACTTCATGTGGCACTCCGGGCTGGGGCTTCCCAGAACAGTTACAACTTTGTGCTACAGCTCGGAGGCTGTTTTGTCTAAGGAAAAGTATTACTCCAGGTTTTTCTCCTGGAGTAAGTAGCATATAGCTTTACAGATTCAATATATGTACAGAAGCATCATCATCTATTATCTATATTAAATCATATATGATTTAATTCCTTGGGTTTATCAGGACAAACTCTCTAAAACAAAAATGCTAAGTTTTATTTTCTATTTTAACTTTTATGAGTTGTCATATTAATACTAATCACGGATTCTACCTTTTTGGTTAGCTTTTGCAAAATCCATTTGTAGCTCCTGAGTGGGTGAAATTTCAAAAACAGATGGAACAGGTGCAATATCCCAGTTTGTTGGCTCTTCATTTTCTACATACCTTTCAAAATATGCATATACAAAAAAAAAAAAACCTTTAAGATGTTCCATTCAAATTGCTGACAAACCACCAAACATATTGACTTCTAAATTTGCTCTTTTAATATTACACTTGACGAAAAAGTGTTATATTTAACATTGAAGGTTTCTGTTAACCCACTTCAGTTAAGTATGAATTTGCTATGTGGTGGCCAATGGTGGGCAGCCATAATTCCAAAGACCCAGAGGTTTTCTGCTTGTACAACTATATTATATGTAGAAAAACAATTTAGATGCAGAACAAATTTGTAAGATAATTGAAACTTCAAAAAGTATCAAATATAAAATAAAACAAATCATTTATTGTGGAATAAATGTTCAAAGCTGTATCAGTATAGCCTATAGAATCCAAAGGATGAAAGTAATAGGTATCAATTATTTTTTAAAGAACCGTTTTAAACAGAGATGTTCAATTAATGTAATGGAGATTGGTATTTCATTGTACAGAAAGCATATATGATTGGCTCTGTATTCAGCCAATACTGCATTACATAGCTGCCAACATTGACACCATATTTTAAATTATCAGTATTTTTCACCAATCACTGGGCCAACTTACATTTGCGTTGTGCCTGGTCCTTCAAAAAATAAGTTATCTAAAGAAAAGGCTGGTTCTGTCATTGTTGAAATCTGATTTCTCAGTAAGCTGTAAAAACATGTAATAAACAATATTTATGTATTTCATGTCAGTTTATGCTCATTGTCCTCCCCCACCATTTTATTCTCATAGCCACTTTGTAAGGAAGTTTAGGCTAGTGGGTGATAATAAAGAGCTTCATATTTGCAATTATTTTAATCTGGGTATGTTTTAATATCAAATATTCTGTACCATATATACATATTCACCAAAAACATACATGTTCTAATCTATTATTAAAATGAGTATCATTTAAAATATCTACCCTAATGATTTAACTAAGCGCAATATATCAGGATTCATTTCCTTTTTAGAAAAGCTGGGAGGCCTTTTGGTAAATTTAAGGAGATGATGCTTGTTCTTGATAGGGATCACTTTAATTCCAAATAAAACAGTCCCAATTTTCATGAATTAAGGCAAATATATGAGTTTCAGGATAATTTTGCAGGATCTATTCTGGGTCGGTCATAGGACCACAGTTTTAGTCTTCCTACAGTAGCTTTCAACTCATGCTGGAGCCCATCCTCAGGGAACTTCTCTCTACCAGAATGTGTAGACAATTTTGTCCAGTAATGCTGTCTCAAACAGTTGATTTGATGAGCTATGTAATTTTGGAGAATACAGTCTCCCTCCTACCCGTTTGGGAAGAGGTAAATTTAATGCCACCTCAAGTTGTTTTCAAATTCTCTACTGGCATTTAAAATCATATGAACAAGCCATTTAAGCATTGTGAGTAGGCAAGGTAATAGTATTTCAAATCAGTGGCTCTCAACTTTTCTCTTTTTCAAATATAAGGAAAGGAAAGGAAAGGAAAGGAAAAGGAACACATTAATGATAAAGGAAACTTTGTGGAGGAATTCTGGGAAGTGTAGTTTTTTCCACGTCTCTCATTTCAAGTATCTCTAATGTATCACTGAATAAATGAAGAGAGACACAGACAAGAAAATTAAAAACTGAATTGCAACATGTGGAAAACGTTAAAAAAATATCTTATAACTGCTCCATTTTAGCTTCTCATTGTGTGACATGTAACCCCACTCATAAAGCACTATTGTCAAAAGTGAGTCCCCTCTAGTGGTGGGATTCAAATATGTGAACAACTGGTTCTCTGTGTGGATGCCGCTTCCGGAAGTCCATTTTGGGCCTGGGCAACAAAAAAATAGCTACCGGTTCTGCTGAAGTGGTACGAACCAGCTGAATCCCACCATTCCCCTCCCTCATTTTGGTGGAAAATAATATTTGACTAGAAGTATTTAGAGCATATATACTTCAAACGTTTAGGCCTGAAACTGGTTCACGGCTAAATGTAATTATTAATACAGTAACCTGAACTCTGATCAAGAATCTATTTGCAGCCAGTTTAATTTCTATAAATCAGATGTCTCATAGTTATTTCTTTATTAAATTTATATGTCACCCATCTCACTATCAAAGG